CGAGAAGGAAGACGAGACAGCTTCGACATGTGCAAGACGAGGTATGCCTGCACATGTATGTACGGATAGAGTTGACGGGCACGCGACAGCAGGGAGAGCCTCCAGAACATACCGAGGAGATGCTGTATGTAGGTGATAGTCAGACTTTGCTTATTCCATCACACGCCGAAGCGACAACTTTGTCTCATCTCCTTCTCTCGAAGGGTGGAGATTATATCCAGGGCATCAGCTACCATAGCTCGCAATCAATGCCACTCCAAGACAAGAGAACTTTTAGAGTTCCCCGCGTGAACGGGTCAACTTTCCTTCTCTTTTCTCTCCTTCACGTTGCACAGACTACCTTGTTACCCAGCAAATAAGCAGAATCGAACTGTGTCTGTGCGAACAGCCCCCTCGTGTCGTCGCAGTGAAAGCTGCTGTCATAATGACCATGGCCAACTGCCGCCCAGACCCTATTCGGGCTAGAGGCCGTTGTTTGATAGGTTCTCTTGGCTCTGTGTTTCGTTGTTGAAGATTGCGATGTTACCGTGTGTTTCTTGGCTTGTATAATATACCCTTTGACATTTGTTAAACGCAGGGTGAGCTGAGTGTTACGACAAGTTGGTTTCATTGTTTGCTGAGTCGCTCCGAGTAGAGAGCCGTGCCCGTGCGTGCTCTGTTGGACCAACATGACGAGGACGTGAGAGAAGTGCAACGTTCAAGTACCGTTACGTCCGACCATTTCCTCCGAAAGAAGAGGACCCCTTGTCTTGTTGTTGCTTGCCCCATTGCTTCGATTCCAACGCACGCACGCGATGAGTGGAGTATCCCATCGGATCCGTCCCCATAAGTGCCTCAGCATCGGGATTCCCTTCCAGACTTTTTTGTTGACCCCGTCCGTCGTCTAGGCTCGCTCTAGAAGCAATCCTGGCAAACAAGTTCGATTCTCTTCTCTTTGCCCCCGACTAGTACTCCGTACAGTAGTCTTGACTTAGACACAGCAGCCAGGATTGGTCATCTAATTTATCATAACAGCCGCTAGATCAGAGGAGGAAGTGTCTCTAGGAAGTTCCGTGTTGCTCATCGGGATGGCTTACATACAGCCAGGCTTGGCGTAGCAGCTAAGAAAACAAGCCGAGAATTCATCCATTGACTTGGTGGCTGGGCAAACGGAACAGGTCCCACTTGTACCAGAATTTCCCCTGGGGCCGGCGCTCGGAGGCGGCTTGGAACCTGAGCAAGGGGATACAAGAAACTTGAGACCTCTGTTCTAAGTGACTAAAAATACTTGGGTAGATTTTTACCAGACTTGACAGATCTTTGGACCGCTTATTTTTGGCACCCCAGCGATCAAGGTACTCGACTAATATGTAAGCAAGCCTAGGAAGTTATCGTTGTCGTAAAGATCCGATCCTTGAAAAGGTTAATAAGGTATTGGGATAGCCTCTCACTGGAGGAAAGGTATCGGCGGATCGGCTGTCCAACCGGAGGACCCTTATTACGACTGGTTATTCCTGCTTGTTACCGTCGTTCCTTTTAGCATTTGATGGTGGGTCATGTCATGATGTGAAGCAACTCAAGTCAGGTACGAGGCCTTGCTCATATTCAAGGCCATGGCCATCGTGATGCTTGATACTTGAGGTCGTTGTATCCCTGAATATCTTGCGGTGAGAATTCTCCTGCCCGCTGTTCCATTGCGGATTCATCGTCATAGATGAAGATTAAAAAAAAACATGGTGTGTGGATGTGGATTGGATGCGGATGCTTAGGAACAAGAAGATGGTTTTTAGCGTGTCCGAGAAATGTGGTTTCTTACGGGTAAAGTTAATCACAAATTGCTTGTTGGAAATATTCATGTGACTGACTGTTTCTCTCAGATTAATATTAGATACGAAACTCACCTCTAACAGCCAACCCTTGATATATCATGTCGCCCAAACAATTCATCTTCGCACAGGACACATCGCACGCCCACACACGTTTAGTACCAGGGTGTTTTGATTGTAAGGTACCTCAGTTGACTGACTGACTGACTGACTGACTGACTGACGTGCCGGTTGCCGCCAATTCCAGCCATGCCATACCCTAGACAAGAGAGAGAATATGTAATGCATCTCAGCAAAATTATCGAGCTAGAGAAGGGAAAAAAGAGCCAAGTACTCCGTAGGATTGGATGAATCGGCATTGGCATGGATATCAATCACCCACACACGATCCTTGTCCTTTCTAGCCTGTCTAGCTTGTCTGTAGTACGGTACCCACCGAATGGAAGCAATGGAGACAAGTTTCCCCATGTCATATCCTATTGGATCCCATTCATTGACTGATGTGAATTATCTTAGTTAGGCCCTTTTTCCTTTGGTCAAACGGTTTCTCAGGTTCGTGAGGGGCCATGGATGTCTTTAAAAAACGCCCACCCCCACACCTAGCCACGAGAGTTGACATCTGCTTGTACTATCGAAACCAAAGCAAAGAAACCTCAATCCGACTCTACGGACTGAATGACAATGATAATGATGATGGTGATGCACTAGAAGATCACCACCAGCTACTTTCTCGGTGTCTTTCCATTCTACTTTTGCCCTTAAATACAGGCATCGTCATCCTTAAGCTCGGCTTCATTCACTCACAAACTCAAACTAAACCTTGTCCATCCGATCCCGTCGTTTCCGTCGAATCCCCTCCAATTGCCATCCTCCTCTTCCATCATCTCTCCCTCTACTTTCTTTGTCGATACGATCATTTGGGTTTGCCCATCCTCTGGATCTGGCTTTTGGGGTTGCAGCCGCGACTTTCCGCCGCCGATATTCCGTCCGTTTACCTGGAGCTCTCTACATTAATTGCCCCTCCCTCTCTCTCGCTGTCTCTCTTACGCCTCGTCAACCTGAACTGGGTTGCTGCAGCTCCTTGTCCTTGTCGACATATTTCCCCGCGCAGCGTAACTTTGCGAGCGAGTCAAAGGCCATTCTTGCCTTCTCGGTTAACCTGATACGTTTATTTAACGAATCGATTTCTTTGTTCGACAATCTTGCCCGGAGCAATTGCACATCTTGGTGCTGCCACCTTTTATCCATACCGTACTGTACCATACCATACCACAGCACACCCTGGTCGAATCGGACATCGAATCAAGCAGAGAGCTCCGAAAGCAAGCATCCCTCCATCCAATTCAATTCGATTCATCCGAACAAAGGCAGTCCCTGGCCTGTTGGGTCCACCGAAAATCCAATTGAACCGAATCGAATCTTCAACAACAGCTACTACGGCCTGTCCTGTCCTGTCCTGTCCTGTAGCCCTACTGCACTCCGTCTGCAACTGCAACTGCAAGCACTGCGCGAGCTATTCGTACTACCACACCCACGCCTAATTACTTGTACCTACGCACGCCCTCGTCGATCCGGCCCCTGCTCGCGCCTCCAGGTCTCGCCTCGATACCCATCGAATCTCTCCTCTTCTATAAACTTATTTACGACCGCGACGCCCCGAAAACCAGCTCCAGCTTTAAATCAACCTACAACTCAGTACAGCGCAGCTCTCCCCCGACGTCCCTTGTGCAGTCTCGTGCTGCCAAAAGGGAGACCCCATCCCTGTCTCGCAGCATCGTCCAATCGTCGATAATACTTCGATACTTAGGTTTTTTCCTCTGCCGCGATTCGACTCCGAGACGACGATACGTCATGACATACATTGTAAGTGTACAACACAAACTCCCTCCTCCAAGGTCAAACCTCCCTGTCTCTCTCGACTTGACATGTCTCGCTTTGCTTTGCTTTGCTTTGCTTTGCTTGTCTTTACTTGGCCTGGCTCTCTTGTACAACCACATGCCAATTCCTGCCACGTCCGACGTCGCACCCTCCACGCTCCGAGCTGCTTCCTCCGCCCTCCACGTTCCTGTCCAACCTACGCCCTGGTCAATGAAGGCATCACACGCCATGCATTCACTTCACATGGTCGATAGCTTGTCTCAGCAGATCCCTGTCAGCCATGAATGAAAGCTTTCCTCCTTGAGCCTTTGGCTCTCTGCACGTCCCTAGGTCGAGCAGTCTCGCCCGTCCTGTTGGGTCCAGGCATTTCTGGTACCTTTCTTTACCAGAGATCTCTCACACACACACTTCTATCATATATCATGATCCCATTCCTATTCTCGTCCATCCACCCATACTCAGCAACCATGTCTTGGCTCTCATCGACGTTGCTTCTCGACGTCGCTTTCGACCTTCCCTTGCTTTTATCCCCCTTGGCTTCATCCTCACATCCCTTCCCTTTTCACACCCTCGCTCTCGTTTCCTAGCTGCCAGTCCATCGACGGCCCGTCTGCCGTACCTCCTAATGGCCCCCGAGCCGCCCGCTGTCTGACATGCACTTTCACTTTCACCCTCTCACACGCACACGCACACCCTGTCCTGGTCTGTCCTGTCCTTTCTTTATCCCCATCGCATCGCATCCCACATCCCACGCACGCACGCACCCAGCCCAAGTCTTTACTTGTCTTGTCTTGTCTGCCTGCACACCCTGACTAGGTAGGCACGAACAATACACAGGCGCACACAGACATGCACTTACATCCACACCGCTTCACCGCTTGACTAGGTATGATTGCCCTGCCCTCGATTCAGCGTTGGTAGTCCCGGGGCAATCATGATGCTTCCTACTGGAATCCCAACTCACCGGTGCCACATCACTTCCCTACCTCAGCCCCATGACCTCAAGAACGGCCCGTTGCCGGTAGGAGAGGAGCCAAGGCGACCAAAACAAGCTGTCTCCGTACACCGAGATATATCACCACTTGCTTTGTTCCTATAATACCATGTCTCCCATCACTACCCCTTGCAACCCTCCTGCTCTGAGGCCTATTTATCCATACATGATCTATCCCTGTACCCTAACGTCATGAGCTTTTTGACATGATATACTTCCCCAGAACCTTCCTTTGTTGCTATGATCAATTCTCCCAGCAGCTCGTGCATTACCTACCCCTTTGATCCACTGTTGCTCTCGCGCCAACCGGCCATCTGCTCGCAATGCGCAAGAATCAATCACTAATGCCGTCTTTCCAGCTATGTCTTGCTCACTACTGCGACCTCCATGGCCCGACCCCTTTGATGGTCACTGAGGGTCTACCGGCCTCATGTACTGTCTGCTTTGAAGATGGTGAAGATCCTGCCGATAATAGACCACGATCCAGCGCGCACGCATCGTCGACTGCTCTCAACGACGCATTAAAGAACCTCGACCTATCTCGGAGCGCTTCAATGCCAGCCTCCGAACAAGAGGCTCAGGCGCAACGTGCAGCGCTATTGCGAAACTCTAGCAATTCTGGCGCAACACCCACTGCTATCGATACTCCTCCTGAAAGCCCACGACCGGCCCCTCCTCATCCTCGGCGCGATTCGAGTTTCCGAAGAACCTATGATGAGACTGTGACAAAGAAGCAAGGCCCTTGCGATAACTGCGCAATGACCTTGCCGCGACAACAAGCGGGATCAAATAGTCTTCATTTCGCAAACAATACTCGTGGACCAACATTGCGCACCCGTGCGCCAGCAGAACGGGTTTTCGGCGCAGGAGGTCAGGCATCGCCTCCCAACTCCCAGACCTCGAGTGATACCGATGGAGAGCGGGACGAGGACCCTCGGGCTCGGCAAAGAATTACACCCTCGGTCAGCTCGCGCAATACCTCGCGATCAAGCAAGAGTGGTGGTACAGGCAATTCGACCGCAGCAGAACGGACACCCTTCCATGTTCACTACGTCGACTATACATCTACACACGATCCGGTCCTACCCGACTCTTTCTCTCTTATTCGAGCGTCTTGCTTGCGCACTCTATCCTTCGAGACGTTACCCCGGGCTCCATCTACGGCAAACCCCACTTCACCCGTTGCGACCTCTTCTCCGGCCTTTGTTACTACGCAAAGCGCCGGCTCGGCCGTCACAGGCGGCCCCATTTTTTTCGGCGACGCCCTCGCCGGTTACACAACGGCTTATATCTTCCGTATTCCTGATGTACACGCAAGGGGTCATAAGCGAGTGTATGCCTTCTTGGCGCTTAGTACTCACCGAGAGCGACTGGCCATGAAGACGTTTGCCGTGGTCTCGACCGCTTTTCGCGAGCTCGCTACATGGATCCAGCAACTGGCTGAAGCCGAGGCCGAGCGAGCGGCCGAGAACTCTCCTATTGGTAGCAGCATCTACGGGGGTGGCTATGCACCACCACCACCAACCGTCGAATCCTCTGGAGGCCCTGATCGCAATGGAAGTAGCTTTCTCACGGGCGGTAGCGGGTTCACCCGACGGATGGGTGGTGGCCCTGGTGCCTCAGCCCCAAAAGCCCGTGGTCTAGCGGAGATTGTTGGACAGCCTGATATCTTTATCGAGCTGCACCGGCGTTTCGTTCACCTTCTCTTTGAAGTTGGTGTCACCTTGAGCTCGTAATGAGCTGTTTATGCCTATTGGCATGCTTTATACGTTTTCTGCTTCGGCATACCCAAGGTAATCCCTCAGGATCAGGATGACTTCTTCTGCCCTGTCCCACCGGGATGATTTGGTCGCCGCAGATGTACCCCAGCCTTACCAATGCCACTCTCCACGCCCAACCCAGTGATACTGAATCGGTCGAAATCCGATTCGTACTTGTTGGCTCGGTGCTCTTTTGTCCTTTTGGAGCAATAAGCGATGTATGATTTACACACAAGCATACTTATCCGAGAGTAATGGTAATGGTAATGGCTAATGGTTAATACCTCAATGAAGCAACGATCGCGATCGACAGCTGCAGTCACTTCAGATCTACTGGTCTTTTGTATGTTTCCTTTTCACAATGCTCGAGGATTCTTGGCAATGCTGCTTACACCTTTCCGCAAGACCGGGGAGATATACACAGCGGCCGACTTGCCAAGAGCCTCGTGTAACTGTATTCTTACATGTATCGCCTTCGGAAGGGCTTTACGGCGTTGTCATTCGGCATATTTTGCACGGGCAATTGATTCCCATTTGGTTTTTGTAGCGTGTTTGTTATCTACTTTTGTGCGCAGAGAACTCGTCAGGACGGGAACTCCAAGGAAGCGGGCCAACCAAAATAGACGGATAGCGAGTTGGGGGAAACAAAACCGAGAAGATGGTGGAATAATGGAGTCTGTGGCGAAGCAACTGTATTTTGCAATTATTTACCTGTTATCACTTGTCAGAGCGAGACGAACAGCTAGGAGTTGGCACGGTTTTATTGATAGACTTGTACGGAACATAGACAGGGAATTATTATGAATGGAAAAAACTACGATAACTTACGATGACTTTGAACTTGAACATACCCCGTTACTGTGTGCTATCGTGCGTGGTTGTCTGAAGTTCGAATCCCTAATATGGAGAACTCGGAGTTATCAGGCATTGAGGATGAATAATTCGCCTTGGACTTGAATTGTTGGGAACTTGGACCCCCAATATCGATTACACATACCATTTACGGTTTATCGCTGCTGACTCTCAAAAGGCCACATTGATGCATGCAAGCAGAGTATCACCAATGTCACCTCACTTTGTTGGCTGCAGCAGTATCATGCTGTGTCCCGGCATTTTGCTCAGAAACATGTGACAGTCTGACATGCCTACAGAAAGAATGGTAAGAATTTTGAGATGTAACTCGAAGCACACATCGCGTAAATCAATCACTTCACCGGTGTGGACCTGGACTGTAGAGACAAATTCATATCGCTTGCGCCGTCAATCGGCACGTTGATTAATCCTAATCTACCTTTCGCTGTAATCCGCCTCCCTTCATATGGACTTTTCCTTCCATATCCCCCTTGGCCTGATAGTTGACGTATGTAATACAGGATGGATGACACACAAGAGTGCGTGACATGATAAATAGACACCAGGTGAATCTATTTGTAGAAATCGAACTTGTTCTCTTCGCCGGTACCCTTGACCTGGCTTGAGTAGGCGTCCTCGAGATCACTCTGAATGATGTTGTAACGGTTCTTACGGACAGCACGGAGACCAGCCTCCTGCATGATCGCAGCGATGACAGCACCAGACAGAGGATCGTTTCGGACAATGAGGGAGTCGAGGTCAACTTCAGGAGCCAGACTCATCTTGCCGGCGATGGTGGAGAAGATGAGACGTCGTTCACGGCGATCTCGCAGAGAGGGGAATTCGATCTTTCGGTCGAGACGTCCAGGTCGCAGAAGAGCAGGGTCAAGAGTATCGGCTCGGTTGGTGGCCATGATGACCTTGACGTTAGCGGTCTGATCGAAACCGTCCATCTGGTTGAGAAGTTCGAGAAGAATACGCTGGACTTCTCGATCGGCACCGGTCTGGGCGTCGAATCGCTTGGTGGCAATGGCGTCGATTTCATCGATGAAGATAATGGCGGGAGAGTTCTCGCGAGCCATGCGGAAAACATCACGGACCATTCGGGGACCCTCACCAAGATACTTCTGAACGAATTCGGAACCAACAACTCGGATGAAGTTGGCGGTGGTTGAGTTGGCAACGGCTTTGACCAGCATAGTTTTTCCGGTACCGGGAGGGCCGTAGAGTAGAACACCTCGAGGGGGGTCGATACCGATTTGCTTGTAGAGGTCAAAGTGTGTCAAGGGGAGCTCGACTGCTTCGCGAATCTCCTGCTTCTGCATGTCCAGACCACCGACATCGGCATATGTCACATCGGGCTTCTCGTCGGCGCCAAGCATAGCAATGGAGGAGTCGGCCTCGGGAGGGAGAATATCGACAAGGGCGTTGGAGTGTCGATGGAGGGCGACCGAGGAGGAAGCCTTGAGCTTCTCCCGGTCGAGGGTGGAGAGGATTCTGACGACATAGTTGGATCCGGTGCTAGACTGCACAATGCCAGTACTTGGGATGCTGGTTAGCTCGTGTAGAATTGTCGGTTGCAGGTGAGCACATACTTTTGGTCAATGGCCTCCATAAACTGTCCTATAACTAATGGCACGCTCTGAATTCGCTTGATCTCTTCTTGAGCTCGTACAAGCTCACGCTTCAAACTCCTGTGAAGAATTAGCAAGCCATGACCTGAATCCAGACGAGATTAATGAATTACCTTTGCTCATCCTTGATATACTCTTCTTGCAGCTGGATGTACCTATTCGAAAGCTATCAGTTTCCCACCACTTTGCAATATCTGAGACTGGAGTATCGTACTCTAGTTGCCGCTGGAGCTTCTTGAGGTTGGCGTAGTCGTCTCCTCCATCGGTTGACACACCCTCGAAGTTATCAATGGTGGGAATGGCTGAGTGGGCGGCCCTCTTGTGAGGTGCCACTTGGTTTGCTGGGTTTTCGACAGCGACGTCACCCATTTTTGCGCTTCTGCTGGGTGAGTAAGATAGGTGAAATGATCGTGAGAATGCGGTGCAAGTAGAAATACGCGTGGGTGCTGGAAAGCGATTGTCGTCGGGAGATACGGCGCTTCGTTGTTGTTTCGGTCGTTGAGGGAGTGATGGAGCTGCTTCGAGATGATACCAGGCGCCAGTAACGACGACGACGACACTGGAAGCTAAGGTGAGCTAGCGTGGCTGGAAATCTTAGTCATCTGGATGGGAGCTCAATTCACGTGATCATTCTACGTCAAAGAGCGAGAGCAGTTGGGGTCCAGGCTCGATGGCTCTGATTGGCTCATGATCGTCTCTTCCAGGCAGGGCGAAGTGGGGTTGTAAGCGTGCAGCAGCTGCAAGGCTCCAAGGCTCCAACAACCCCAGTGCGAGCTTCAGTGAATCAGATTGGCCGATTATCGGGGGATCTGCCTCCACACAAGACCAAAGACGTAGGGACCCTGAAGGGGGACGTTTCTAGCCTGGTACATGAGAGCTACAGCGGATCGAGGGCCTCTGTGCTTTTGGCACTTGACCCTCCTGAGGCTGTACAAGTTGGGGGGATGTCGAATGTCCTATTAGTGGCGTTGAACTGATTCAGTCTAATGTTGAAAGATGGCGGGTTTTGCGGTGAGAATAGACTCATGACCCTGTCGATAAGCCTGCCCCGCGATGTTCGGTGAGAGGATGTTAGTTAGGTGAACCGTGAAATCGTTCATACAGTATTTACAGTATAGAGTGTTATTATTGGTAATTGTTAGTGAGGAGCTTCTCGCTTGTTTATACAGTACATGTATCTTGACGGACCATCTCGTGTAAGCTCAAGTACCCGGTTGGATTGTGGCTTATCAGCGTCGGATCACTCGCCTGTTCACGGGATGATGCGGCGGTGATTCACTGGTCGGCGGCCGAGGAGCAAGGTAAGGTACCAGTAATCGACAAGTCACCTCACTCACTCACTCACTCTACCTCTTTGAAACCACCTTCTACCCTCTCACTTGTTCAACCTCCAACCAACTCGACCTCTTTGGTCTTTTTTTGCTCTCTTTTCATCGCCTTTCTCGCCCAAGCCAACCTCACGTCACTTTATCACCTTAATCTATCACTTACTGCTCGGCGTGTCTTTGTTGCGTCATTCTACTGATACTGCTGCCATCTCCTCCCCAAACGCCGCCATCTTCCCTCCCTCCGCTGCCGTTTTCGACTCGGCCAACCGCTCGTCACACACAAACACACACGAAATACTCCTCGTTTCATCTTGGGTTGCTTGTTTGTCTCTGTCTTGATACTCTAAGCAACCTCAACATCGCACATACAATGTCGTCCTCTATCGCCATTCCCGCTGGCCCCTCGGCTACCCGCCCATTCCATAAGGGCACCGGCTCCTCTACAAACAGCCCGTTTGGCACTCCTTCGTCTTCTCCTCCGTCAGCCGGAAAGGACAAGGCCCTGCACAACCGCCGTCCGAGCCTCCTGAGTAAGTGAAGCTGGATCATCCCCGCCTCAGACGATGGCAGCGACAATGATACTATCGTCTTATCATGCACCGACAGCCGTTTACTGACTTGTCTCTGTAGGCTCTTCACTCTCCAAGCAAGAATGCACCGTCATTAACGTCGGCGATCCAGAAGGCACTCCCCGACTGGTAAGTGTCTCGACAATATTGTACTTGGTTTCAGGTGAACTGACTTTCCATAGATCTCCTACCTTTCCTCCAGCCAGGGTTTCGCCTGGAATCCCGGTATGTTTTACTTGGATCATGAACAGCCTCTCCACGAGTCACGACTAACAACTGATAGAAATCTTTCTCCCGTCTTATATCGATTGCGACTATGTTCCCCTCGAAAACCGCCGGGACCCGGTCCACGAGATCATTTTGACCGATGACGAGTCCAAGAACCTGCTACCTCACTAAACCGCCTGACATTATGTCGTATACACAGACCAGGCCACGATAGACATTTCCTTCTCACGAGATTCCCGATTCAACGACAGGCCTGCTATTATCCAGTTATTGTTTTTACGGCGTTACGATTCCCGCGGCTTTTTCTTTACTTCCCTTCCCTTGCCTTTCCTTCCAGTCAGGCAAGACATGACACTTGTTTTAGGCCTGTCGACGCATGGGCATTGTTTGGTGGAGTATGATTTCGGGACAGGGTCCCTGGTCAATCGACTTGACAGCCTCACTTTTAGGTTTTGGCTTTGGCGGAGTAGACAAGACATGGCAAAGCATCCATCACCTCAGCGTCCGGCACATTCGGTATCGATCTTGGGAATTGGATTGGAGGGAACGCCTGGATTCGCAGGCCAAAAGGAAGAGGTTATTTTCACTTCTTGGGGACCTGAGACCAAACTGTTTCGTTCATTTTCCTCACTAATTCTACGGCTGGACTGTTTTGTTCTTGAGGGGATGGTGGCGTTGAGGTAGGACGGCGGTGTTTCTTTGTTTGTTTGTAACTCTCCTCAATTCACATGACTTAACTTGATCATCGCTCAAATGACACCTGCGATGTTGGTCGCTTCCCCGCTGGCGCCAATCACCGACGGCCGATATGAGCCGGCGCCCTACCGAGAACCCGCCCGGACCGGGGCTAACTGTACGGGGCTGGTCGGGGAACCTTGATGTCATTCAAGCCCGGCCCAAGAAGCAAGTTCCGTCTTGGGTAGACTATTGGTGGTCGACGTCAGGTTGACAGAGATCAAGCCTTATTGTCGCACGGATTATGCTGGACTGCATTACGGAGTACGCTATGGATCTTTGTAAAAACGGGTTGAGGGCACGGCCACGAGTCTATTACCGATTCCCGACAACGATTGACTTTGTTTCCATACCGGCCAGTACCCAGCATCTGACTCAACCAACATCCATCGCCAAGAACGCCATGGTGCAAACATTATCATCACAGCACTCTCGCATCTTGGGCAGCGATTTTATGTCTCAATTGATATTGAGGCCTGCAATACCGGGTGGCCTCGTTCTATAGGGTCCACCTTTTACACCACAGTCGGTGAGATCTCGACAATGATGCCTGAGAACACATCTGGGTATCATGATGAGCACAGTTTGAGAGTTTGTCAAGCACATACGACCATAGCTCGTAGAAAATACGGGATCCCGTCTGCTCTCCCATAGTCAAGCTGCGAAGCGCTGGATTAGTAGTTGGGTCGGTGACGACCAGCGAATCCCCGGTGTTGTATGTCTTTTTGGTGTTTTTGATGCTTGTCTGGGACTGATTCCAGTCTTTTCAAGAGGGATAGAGAGGTAGATGTGATGGTATAGAGCTCGTAACTGCTGCAGAGTAATACGGGCTTATAAAAATTGACTATAAGGCGTTGTCAAATAGGTAGTCTTGCTTCTTGAACTGTTTATGTGCCCGATTCTGATTCCGGTCCGAACCGTTTTACGGAATCGGCGCCGACGGTGGGGCTCCGGTACCGTTTTCGTGATCCACCCGCCAGGGAGCAAGAAAACATCAGGCCTTGATAAGCGATGTCAAAATAAACTTAGGAAAAGGTATCCTAAAATTAGGACTAGATTTATACTAAAGTACCAAATTGTTTTTGTCATTAGGATCAAGGTCTTGTGCTTTCTTTCCTCCCCTAGCCACCCACTGGGGCGCCGAAGATGAACGGTCGTAGCGTTCCTGGGCATCTAGTGAGACGCACTCAAGACAGGCTCATTGTAATACATACTCGAATGTAATCGGCCAAATCTCAACTTTTGGATGCTTGCTTGCTTTAATTGTCGAGGCGTCAAGATGCCGGCGATACCTTTCCAATGCCTTCCCAGATCCTGAGCTGGCCGGCGCTCGTACTAAGTACTTCCACGGAGCCATGTATGTTAGTTCGTAACTTGTGTTTCTCGACACTGTCGTTAATCTTTTCGCCGCCTTCTTCAAGTACCGTAATCTCCCTCGTCTGCATTAATTCACTGGAGTATGATTCCATAAAAGCGTCATCCTCCACATCAATATCCTTCTGCCTCCCTCGCCTCTCCTGGTCCTCGCGGTAAAACGAGTTGGCAGCGAACTCACTGGCGACCTTCCATAGATGCCAGCTCGGCTCCGGATCAAGGCTCTTATAGACATTCTCGTAATCGCAGACGATTGCTTCCGCCGCGCATTGCCTCTTCATCTCAGGCACCTTCATGGCAAGAAGGCTAAGCATATCTGACTGCGACTGCAGGGGTCACCAGAAGATGTAGGGCATCGGGACTCGTGGCCAGCCGTCTTCAAACGTGGAGACGTCGTTGAGCATGATCCGGCGTGCCATTATGGCTCGCTGAATATCCCACGCGTATGGGGAAGACCTTGCATAGATGGTGTCGTTCTTGATCTGGTCAGCCCACTAACGAGCATACATAGTGTGATGCAAGACACCACGGATGACACAGTCTTGATCTAGTTGAGTCAAAGTTCTTCCAGAGTTGGCGAGCCGGGCATAGCGTTCGATGTTGCCGTCGTGGGCGGCCATCTGTGTCAGCAAAGTCTTCTTTACCGTCGGCAGATCCCGAGGCAGAGGACTATGGAGCAGATTCGCCTCGTCATCGGTCAGCGTTCCATGCCTTTCATCTACTTGCTGATCCTCGAGGTCTAGATGCATGTCCTCTTCGATGCATGGAAGGAGGTCGTCGTTGAACCGGCGTGTAACACCTTGTCGAGCTGTCAAGCGCCATCGCACTTCGGTGTTGCCCTTTAGATACGCCGGGCGTTCATAGTCGATCAGTTTGATGGTGCGTTTGCAATCGTCCATGATGGAATAGCGATACTTGAAACTCATGATCTCGTCATAGATGAGTTTCCCGCCATCTGTCTCGCTTTCTCGCGCCTCTTCAGCGATGGACACTTCAGGCAGGATATCAAGCTCATGACAAAGGGCGTGGTAACCAGCTGCAGCACAGGCACGGCCGACTTGATAGCGCATGTCGGGGAATTTAGAGGCCAATGAGCGGTAGGTGTCCTCGGTGGCCATGTCGGGATGCCATATACAGTATGGCTGCTCCTCCGCCGCCATTCGTTCCGGTATGTCGTTGCTCATGATGCGGCGAGCGTTGCGGGCCCGAGCGACCTGAGGCATTGAGGAGCTGAGGCGTTTGATGGGTTCACTCATGGCCAAATGGTAGTGCAGGCGAATGCCCCGGATAAGAGCTGCGCGACTATCACGGTCTTCAAGGAGCCTCGGCACTCCATCACCGCGTATGGCCTTTTCCTGATCCTGTCGAAGTTCCAAGCGGCCTATAATTTTTCTTCTCTTTTTCTTCTTCTTTTTGCTGGACAGTAGATGATGAGGCAAAACTTTAGTACTTGGGTCGTTGGTTTGTTAATTGAGAATGGCATGGGAGGGAATAAATATTCTTGCCAAGGATCCATTGACAAGAATATCCCTATGTCCTCCTCTTCACAGCCCTCAGCTTCAAGATCCACAATAGTTCCAAATACTACCTGATAGCTGCGATTCGAGTCACAAGACCTATGACGAGACACGGCATGCAAGTTTAATGTAGTAATAGGCTTTTAACGGAGCTTGTGATGGGCTTAAGTTGTAGATGAACCCCTTCGAGCTTTGCTGCCACGATCCGTACGCCAATGGTGTCGGGAAGTGTTTCTGCTAATGCACATAAACGCCGTGTTTATTGTTTGAGCAGAAGTATAGGCGTGTGGTTCTCCAAGTTCAAAGCCTAACCTATGATAACCCCCTGGCCTCACCAATCCGCCTTTGAATCGCCATAGTATATCACGGAGTCTTCACTTCGTCAACTTCTTTATGTTCTTGCAACAAACTCAATTGAACCCAACTGGGGCAGCCACCCACATCCCAAGCATCGACACGAAGTTCACAAGTCACAAGGTCCTCATGGGAAGTTGGCATTTTCCGGAGAACAGCTGAGAACACAGTCTCTGAAACTCTAGCAGATCGTTTGACAGCACGGTCTGTATGTGCAACAAAAGATTTCTTGTACTGGACACAAGCACGGAAGAGAGCGTTGTTACGCGACTCGTCGATGTCGCTGCTAGACTGCGAAAGCTCTCGGATAGTAAATGAAGCATCTTCGGTTGATATCATGATGTCGATACGAAATAGTGAAGATTGAGCGCCATGTGAACAGACAACCCAGAGGGCCTTGAATGGGGACTCATGCATCGGAGTCTGTCGTTTCATCCAGTCGTCACTTGGATATGTCAAGACAATATCAAGGGAGCGCGTAGTTGTCGACGAGACTTGTGTCAAGATCCGCAATTGCTTTGACGAAAACATTGAAGACGGTGGAACCATGCCAAAGTTATTCGAGCCTGTGAAATAGCCACTGGGCCGAATGAAGAGCTCCATAGGCCTAAAGTACGGGAGCAGTGTCTTGGGCACACCGATAAGAGAAGACGATTTAACTCTGCAATAGACCCGTCGTCGCGCCGACTCATAGTCACGTTCTATCAGGACGCATACAAGACTGTCCTCTGTCTCGTACGATAGCCATGCAATGCGGGCCAGGTCAAGATCTGTAGGGAATAGAACATGCAGATTGATACGTAGACCGCGACTTGTGAACTCGAGAGGATTCGAGAGGACCGACTGCATTGCAACGATGCTACGTTGGCCGCGAAACATGCGGCCGTAGTCCTTGTCGTGCAGGACTCGATATTCGATGCTCTGCTTCTCCACGTCAAGTTCGGGTTCAGAAGGAGGAGGAAAGGCATGACCATGATCGACCATCTTCTGGTCCGGCGTGTGCTTTGGAGCTTGAGCATGTATAGCATTCTTGGAGAATTGCGAGGGCGACCAGGCTAGAAACCCGGTAGAAGAGGTTTCGGAATCGGCAATTGGGTTATCTTGCTGGAGAGTCCATGCAAACATGCTATAGTCCTCTTCTTGTCGGAGAATCTGCTCCTGAAGTCGGATGAACGACTTGGCTCCTTCGCCATAGAGGAGTGGCATGTTGACGTCGAATAGACCTAGTAAACAGTAGGCCAGGTCTTCCTCTCTGGTTGTAGTTCGAGCCGATGCCCACGACATTCGCTCGGCGACATTGTATGTCGAAGGATGAGAACCACGTAACACGGTGATTGGGATGCCAGTTACGCTTTCTATACTTGAAGCGAGACTCTTTTTTGTACCGATTACGGTCCACTCTTTGGAACAGAGCTCGACGATTTGGGGCGCGATCAGTTCCTGAAGTGTCCAACCTCTGGTGAACCACCTGCTTCTGCCGAACTCTGTGATATGAAAGACGTCCGCCATGGTACAAGCTTCTGTGGTGACATCTTGTAAATAAGCATAACAGGAGGTCGCCTTTTGGTACCACTTATACATGGAATTGATCGCCTCGGAAAGCTCTGCGCTGCTGGACTTGTCGATGCAGCAAGTGTCAATCCACACCCAGTCGAAGCCATCCTGAGCTGCCTTACTACAACAACCAACGAGTTTCGGGTAGCCTTTTCTTGACTGAGCAGTAAGGGTGCCAATATCACTGTATAGAACCTCTTCTTCGGTCCAGGTGTGACTGAGAATTGCGTAGGGAGGGACATGTCCGATGAATTCTTTCAGCTGAAGAGTTGAGACATTTAATAGACGCATTGAAACAATCGAGAGAGCAGTACGTTAGTTGTTGGGAAACTTGAGCTGCTTGGGAGTCTATAGGACGGTGCAATGGCGTTGACGGACAGGTAGGAGCAGCCTGTGTCGTGTGATCGTTGATCAATCGTCGTTGCTTGAGTGAGCTGTGCCGAGACATGGCTGAGGAGTAAGTGAACAGCAGTAGAGACAAACTCAGCGGCCATTGGTCAGGTTTGGTCCAGGCCGGGACATTGCTTATTTGGATCGAGTATTATACAGAAGAGGTCATCACGATACAATAGAAGACAAGAGTGTAGCTCAGATGAACTGTATAGTATTAAGGTCTATGCACCTCTAACAAGAGATCTATGTGCAAGTTGTAGAAATGAATTATATACCCAACGCTTCCATCCTTAGTTCATCATGTGTGAAATTAATCATTAAAGACCAATGCTTTTCCCTTGTCGTCCAAACTCATCACGAGATATATCCATGACATGTAGAGCAGAGGTTCTGAGTTGCTTAGAAGAGAGCAATAGCACCGAGGACGGCGAGGACGCCGGCGGGGGCAATGCGACCGGCAGCAGCGGTGACAACGGCAGGGTTGGTGCCCTCGGGGACGGGGTAGGTAGCGGTACCAGTAGGGACGGGGACGGGGGCAGCGGTGGTAGGCTTGCCGGGGACAACGGGAGCAGTGTAGCCGGGCTTACCGGGCTTGCCGGGAGTGGGCTGAGGGTAAGGGTGCTCGGAAGCAGGGTGGGTGGTGGTGAAGTGGCAGTCGGTGACAGTGACGGTGCCGGGAGCGGTGACAGTGACGGTCTTGTTGCCGTAGGTCAGAGTGGTGGGCTCAGGGCAGTAGGTAGTCACGGCGGTGATGACCTCAGTGGTGTAGACGGGGTGAGGGACAACGGGCTTGGTGGGCTTGACGGGGTAGCTGACTGTGCAGGGGCAGTCGGTGATGGTCAAGGTAGTCTCAGAGGTGACGGTGTAGGTCTTGTCACCGTAGGTGAGAGTGGTAGCACCAGGGCAGTAGGTTGTGATGGCGGTGACAACCTCGGTGGTGTAGTGAGTGCCGTTGGAGGGAGGGGCGTAGTAGGGAGAAGCGGTGGCAGCTCCGATGAGGAGGCCAGCAGCAGCAACCTTGATAGCAACCATTTTGAAGGATTTGGCGAGGTTTTGATTAAGTTCTGACTTATTAAAACGAGTGAAGTGCAGAAAAGCAAGATTGAGCTTGAGCTTTGAGCGAGAGTGTAACGACTGAAGCGAGTGTAGTTGTTGAGAGAAAGAAAGCGAGGGAAAAGGTGGGAAGAGAGTGAGGGTATTTATCTTTGAGTTCAACACCAAGACAAAGCTGAGCTGAACTGGGCTGATAGATACGGAAACCCAGGTCCCAGAGGCACACACAAACTCAAAAGGCGTCTAGTTTAGTCTAGTCTAGTCTAGCCTAACCACATTCTGAAAGTCCATTTAACCTTGTACACACATCGAGATGGATCATGGGCCCACACTCACGGCCTCACGCTAGACGAGGCAATTTTTTACCTCTCTCTACCCTCTTTTTACCGCTCCAAAGCGTAGCTCGTCCAATCATGATATCATTGAAGCAATCTCACTTCTTACTCATACTGTACCTTGCACTAGCCAGACTCGTTGGGCTGAGGAGGTTGCAGGGTACAGGGGCCCTTGTCTTGGAATACGAGGCCAGGGGAGGGATTTTATGACAGATTCGGATCTCGTGAGAAACCTCATGATAAGGAAATGTCCGGGGTAGGTAGAAGTGATTGGCCTGGCTGTGAGTTGTGAGTTGTGAGTGTGTGCGTGCTGTTGCAATGCAGGGTCTCTTTGTTGTGATATGATGATGGCCAGTTGTCGCAGTTGCAGCGACTCTATGTATCCATCGGTAGGGCAAACTCTATACATACCTACTCATCGGTTGCAACGGTGGCAGTTGCAACAGCACAGCACAGCACACCTCAGCTATCAATTGTTGTCTGTTCAGTGGATGATCCGATTTAGAGGGGCCGAGTTAGCCGGAGTGGTTAGCAGTCTTGGGTGTGAGCTGGGTACCTGCGCTAGTACCCACATAGCACCTAGCTCCGTAGTCCGGGGAACTTTGTTTACTCACCTTTTAGCCACTCAAATCTCCTCTTTTTTTCCCCCTCCTCCTCCAACGAAAAAAAAAGCCGGTTTTTCTCTCTCACGTTTTTCATCTCCAATCACCAAACAACGGCCCCTGCAGTCAGCATCAGGCTAATGCGGCGTCCTGCAGCCTCTATCACACTCTGACCCAGGTGCCCCAATCACAAAAGGTCGTCATCTTTTAGCGTGCGTTGATTTGTCCCTCTTGTCCCTTTTCGCTGTTCCTTGGTTTTTAGTCTCCAGAGCGGAAAATGTCTTATCTCATCAAGTTTTTTAAGCTTCAACCAATTAAGACACCAAAATAGAATACCCCCTGTCTAGTGACAAGTCGAACCCCCTGCCCCTTGCATTCTGCGGGCTGCATTTTGCATTTTGCCAGAGCAAATCATGACCCCAGAGTCAGTTCATCCGTTGTTGGTTGTGCCGTTCGTAAGAGGAAATTGCACGCAATGCTTCCTTGACAGTTTTCGTACGGCACGACCACGGCCACGGGCGGCGGTTCCGTTCCCCCTTGCGTCGATAGTCTGGTCTCTGGATCAATGGCATTGTGAGCTTGTCTTAGACATCATAAGACACTTAATCTCCTAAGCACAGCTCGTCAGCTTTAATTAAAAGAGATCGCGCTGTGGCTTGTCGCGGAAGCCGAGGACATCTAAACACATCCGATCTAATTAAAGCTGACCCGAGACTCTCGCCCTCAGTCTCTGCAGTCTCTGCAAGGCTGCCATAAGATTTGCACCCCTACATTCCTTATCACAAACAATATGAAGGAGGGAAAAAGGATCAGATCATCCTGGTTGTAAATCCCCTCGCTCGCTTGCAATCAGCTCCAGTTTATCCGTACCCCATCGAAGACGTCAGCCAAAAAGTCAGCATCGCTTGACTCGTGCCAAAGTCCCCAAAAATATCCCCCATACGCGAAATTACCATCAAGCCACCCTCATCTTGGCTCGTCAGCCTCCCTGAGTCTCTGTTAGAGCAACAATACCGTCTTCCCAAAGATCCAACGTTTCATGGCGGGTTTCATAGCGACATTTCACAGAAGTGGCTGAGACCTGTCCAATAGGCACTAGTATTTGGCTGAAACAACGGGTGAGCAGGTCCTGGACTCCTATTGTCTGGCGTCTGGTTTGCCACTTGTTCCAGCCTCAAATCACCTGTCTCACTCGACTTCTGATCTATTGGGTTGTCCAGTCAATAGCGAAGCGGGTGGCGCCGCCAGAGGTAGAAACCATTGTTTGGTCTAGTCTAGGCCGTGTCCTGCTAATCTGAGCACTTTGCACGGGCTGTTCGAGACTGTGAGATGATTCCTTGCTTCTTCTCATCTTGATATTGGATGAAATATGAATATTGGATGCAACTGCACAAATCACAAGTGACATACCCTAGGTACTTCATTGTCCAACATAATGTACCTAATATGTCTCTCTCATCAATCATTAATACACGTTGAACTGCTTCGTGAGCTGCCAGCCGTTTCAATGCAAAGGAATGCGGCTATCTAGCCGCAGCCGCTCTTGAAGGAGGTTTGTCTAAAAACATGCTCAATCGGCTAGAAGACGCTACTTGCCCTCCTGGAAGTCCATTGGAATGATCATCGTGACCAGCGTAAAGCTACATTGCTCCAGCTCTTCCATCGCATGAAAACTGTCTTGTCATGTGATGTATTTATGCTTTTGTATTCCTTGTAGCAGCACCTAGCCAGGCTCTTGTAGGGTAGTCTCATCATGTCTCTTACAGTATTACTCACAACGATTTCTATCTCGAGGTAGCCTAGAATTATCCCGTGGCTTACAATTAACTGTTCACTCACCCAGTTGTAGTCATGTCGCATTTGGCTCCATACAAACTTATTCCAACCATGGACTGCCTCGATCTCTGATCTCTATCAAACTCAAAATATAGACATACTATGTGCCTAGTAGCTAGATCGTTTGACCCAATCACGTTTAACTTAGAGTGAAGAGACCAATACATACAAGGTATTGTTTGAACCTGATAGCAGCATTAAAAATTACGCAGCTTCAGAAATGATATGGTTACTAGGAGATAGAGCCATGGTGACATGCGTATATGCACCATTATCTACGTGAGTTTGAGCTGACACTAGGCTCCAAAAGCAAGATCCCGTTTGTCTTTGAGTGTTATGGCAGAAATCGCCTGAGATCTTGGACCTGGCACTGGTCGACACTGACTGACACTGCAGGAAGCCTTTAACATAGTTTCACAAGGCACCTTCTGCCTAAACCTCAAAGGAATTTAACTTCACAAAGTTAACATAAAATGTTTTGTCAGCCTCTGTACCCACAGAGAAATTCTTCCTCTCCCATCCTTCTTTTGACATCGACCACCGCTCATCCACGATGCCTTCTTTCAAGAAGAAGCTCTCGCTCTCACTCTCGCGACCAAAGGTCAAAAAGATCTTCCGGTCCATCAAAAGTCCATTCAGGAAGCTCGACCGTGCCAAAGATGAGCTTGCTACAACTCCTGTGGTAGACCAACATGTCCAAGATGATGTTCGTGAGGACTCCGAGGAGCAAGGTGTCGGCAAAAAGAGAGCCATTCAGCTCCAAGAACAAACCTCACCCGTCAGCAGTGATTATGCCCCTAGCACGTCGCTGTCTGATCAAGAGTCGGATAGCTCTTCCGGACCCGAGATTTATTTCGATGCCCAGGAAACCATTCTCGACCCTAGCGATCACGAGGTTGCGGTTCGTGATGATGAAACCGAACCCGCCAGCAACATGATCACGCAACACCATCAAGTCAACATCCCTGGCAGAGAAGAGAAAAAAGACGTAAAGTGCACTATCGGCCACGGTATTTTCCCCCTACTAATTACCTGCAGATGACCAACAACGATACAGGGCTCGACCAACAGCAGCAACATGACGCTTGCCTGACTCTACAAAAGCTCTCGCCGGAATTGATAATCGAGATCATGCTACTTCTTCCACACAGCAGTCTGTATCTTCTCCAGCAGACATGCCAAAAGTTTCGCCAGATCTCGAAGCGAGATACATTCAAGACATTCAACCTCGAGTTTCGAGACGGACCAGAGAGCTATTGTATGAGCGAGAATGGCTACCAACAACGAAAGGTCATTCGGGACATCCTTGCTCGCAGGACTCTCTGTCAAGAATGTAACGCCCACCGCGATTCGGGCAAGTTGCAAGCAGTGATGCGAAAGCTCTACGAGATGCAGTACTGTAACGGATGTAAAGCCAATCACCCTGCACTGTTCTTTTCTCCCGAGGAGAAAGGTAAACAATACACGCAGTGCTTGGGTCGAATGGGAAATTTCCCGCTCTGCTCGCATGAGACTTTTGCAGGCCCTGATATGGTCACTCTGTCCAATGTCGGTGGAAAGCAAAGATCGATAACGTGCGAGGATTTGGGTCACAAATTATCCCCTTCAGGTTCACTCTCCGAGAAAGGCTCTGCCCCTTATGGGTACCTCGACATCTCAAAAGCTTCAGCTTTTGACCATGGCCCCATGAAGCACCACCTGTATTTCATACTTACAGCAACTATTCCCCTTGTCGTTCTTGATGGATGCTCAGACAAACATAGGGAAGAAGCCATTCGGCAGCTAAAAAAAGGCTCATACACCGTGAGCGACCCAAAAGCCCTATGCACGCATTTCTCTAGCGAGATCCTCAAAGAGTGTGTGGTCTCCGATCCATCCAAGTGTTCATGCTTCCCACGATCAGAGACAGGGCTCAGAAAATGCACGTTATTGAGCTCTGTTCCCAACGCAACCTGCAAGATTTGCGGCGCAGAGTATCACCTAAGTCTGAAGCAAGTCGGAGGACCGCCTGTAATCCCCACGTCGGCAGCAAGAGGATCGGCGAAAACACTAACAAAGCCTCGCGGAAGAACAATTATAGATCTCAAGATCAAAAGAGACATTGCCATGGAAACCTTCCTCCACCCCTCGTGGCTTTTCAATCTCAACTATAACCAGGATAAGGAGTGTAACTCACGACTCAAACGAAACCCTCTTCTGGACGAGGAAATGAAACACATACTCTGGTGCGATGATTCTGGCTGTGCGACAGGGTCTGAACGTCGATGGGAGAAAATGGCACTTTTGTATTTGAACGATGCCTTTAATAAGGGGGAACTGCATGATGGCAAATATGACGATGATGATCGGGCTAGAGATATGCCTTGGTTGTCGCTTGAGTACGATGTCTTTCAGGGCTTGACAACCTGACCGACATGTGACTCTCGAAGACGTTGAAATGAGAAGAGAAAAGAATGAAGAAGGCGGGTAGGAAAAAACATTGAAGATAAAAACAAACGCACACAACCCCCCAGCACCATCGTCGAAGAAAGGAAGAAAGACCCCTTGGAACCCAACACACATGGAGCACGCCATACACAATACCCCAATTTGATACATTTTATGTCCCCCCTGGTGCCTGAGCACCTAGATACTTGTGACAACCATAGACTGGAATCTGGTTGACTATTGTCACCGTCAGGATGGCAATGGCTAGGATACCCCTCAAAAGCTTCGGACAAATAGGTAGTTGAAGATACAATAAGAGAATTAAGGGGAAAAAAGCTGGCGTATGATCCAGTTATATGTGAGAAGAGAAGACAAGAGCTTGCTTTGCCAGCTTGTTAGACACTGAAAGTTACGTAGAGTTCATGAGATTTGATATGCAAAAACCTATAATTGCTTATCAGTCTGATCTCATTAACGAGAGTAGATATGGCTAAATTCAAGAGTTACTCTTTTTCTTTGTGTCGGGGGACAAATCTAAGCTCCGGCCCATATCATGAGCTGTATGTACTCCGTAGGGCGCGGTCAACCTTGGGAGATAATAGTCTCCCCGCATCCTCAAAGCTTTGATTTCTAATACACAAAAAATAAAATAAAAAATCAGAATCTCACCGAACAACTAAACAGCAAACTCATTTTAACCACAAAACCAGTCATGGCCCCTCAGATCGAAGCTGTTTCTACCAAATCTGCTCCGGCTCCGCTGCCGCAGTTCTCACAGGCCGTTAAGCACAATGGCATGGTTTACTGCTCTGGAAACATCGGAGCCATTCCCGGGACAAATTTTGAGCTGGTAGAGGGAACTGTTAAAGATAGAGCGGTAGGTCTTTGAGAGATTCAGACCGTGCAATATGTATTGGCTGACCATACGACTATAGCGACAAGCTATCAAGAATCTTGAGGCTATCCTCAAAGAGTCCGGCAGCAGCCTGAGAAATATCGTCAAGATGAACATCTACATCACGAATATGCAAAACTTTGCTCTTGTGAACGAAGCATACGATGAGTTCTTCACTTGGGAGCCAAAGCCGGTATGTCAAGTTCCAAGCATAGTCCAACTCAATCACTAATGTCTCTCAGGCTAGAACTTGTGTAGCGGTCTTCCAGCTGCCGTTGGGGACTGATATTGAGATTGAGTGCACAGCGGCTCTTGACTAGGAAAAGATAGGTTTATAGGAACGAAATGCTATGAATGTGCACTACAATCAAACGTCTTCTCTACTATTGCCCGTTGTAATCACCCCCAACCCTTTTAACACATTCAACGGTTTGCATAGATGCTCTTGCCCTTGCCCTGCATGACTTCATCAACATAGTCCACGTACTTGATTGGCTCAAAGTCAGGGTAAAGGTCCTTGGTGCTGAGATAGCCCAGATACTTGGCAGGCTCAGGGAGATTGTCCTGACGGAACCACTCGCAGTAGAGATACTGGGGAGCAGCGAGTCCAAAGATGAAGGGAAGGCTCTTGTCACTCGCATCGTACTTGACCTGGGCGTCTGCGATGGTGGCCTCGATATCCTTGGTTGGCATCTACTGCTGTTAATCACCATGTTTCAGTTCTGCAAATGGAAGAGAGACTTACCGAGTTGCGAGGAATCTTCTCACCGCTGGCGTTTTCCAAATGAGTGTGAATTTCCTCCTGAGTCCAGACTTCGTTGTAAGCAAAGACGTATTTGTTCAGGGTTCGCTCATCAGTAATGATCTCGGCAACGTATTTTCCAATATCTCTCAGGTCTGTCAAGCTTGTGGCGTGAGAACCATCCTCGGCGACGACGGCGGCGGGGAATTTGAGAGCATAGTCAATCTTGCCAGAAGGAAGAGATGGGAGAGAGACCTGATACCACATGCCAACGTCAACGACTGTGTAGGGAAGATAGATTTTCTTGACGTGGTTGATGATGGTCTCTTTCTACAAACTCGTTAGTGACACTGACTGTTAACTTGCTTTGCAACTTACAAACTCCCTAAGAAGCATGACGCCCTCAGGAGGGCAGGGCGGGCCAAAGGCACTGGGGAGGAATCGTCTGACTCCAGCTTCTTTGGAAGCATCTGCCAAAGCAATTTCAGGGCCGGTAGTGAAGGGCACAAGACAACTGATGACTACATCTTGACCAGTGAGTGCCTTGACGAGTTCGTCGTGGTTGTTTTCGAGATTGATAGGGACCACGGAAACGCCCTTGTTCTTGATTTGTTGGATCTCGGGTTTGTTGATGGAAGCAGGTCGCACAATTGCGGTTAATTTCTGTCAAGATGAGTATAAGAAACTTTGATAGTTGGGGATTGCAACTTACAAACTCATTTGGAGAAGGTGAGAGAGCATCGATGATGGACAAACCGGCCTCGCCATTTGCGCCGACAATTGCAACGTTCATGATGGATATGGATGGGATGGTAGAGTAGTTAACTGTATTGATTGTTGTGATTGAAGTGAGAGGGGAGAGTGATGATTAAAATTTCAGTCGGGTCTTGATGCTATATATATTCATCATGAAGGAGGACGAGAAGAGCCTCCTCCGTGGTTTCATTACAAATTTGTTCGTTTATTGCAAAGCATGTCATGTCGAGGCTTTGTAAGTCATCGCCGGGCTCTGCTCCGCCGAAATGTCGGCGGTGGTATTTTGCTACAGTGGACCCATTTCTACCCACTAGCAAAGGCTAACAGACCCTGCATTTACATACTCGTATTCCTGTTAAGGACTGTTAGCCACCAATTACCATTGAATTGTTGAGGTTGCAACAGATACCTATTGTTGAAACCAACCGAGGCGTGATATTGGATTATTCACAGGCTTCAGGAAGGTGACGCAAAGAGTTTTCCACGTTTGAAAAGCGATGATAACAAAATATGCTAACTTATTACTACTGTTTGTGATTGGAAATCCAACACTTGCGTGGAAGATGCTTGTCTTGCTGCAGAGGGACTCTATGTTTTCAAGCAACGAAATAAGCGAAGAGAAAGGAAGCAACACTTAGCAATATGTTGTTAAATAAGACAAAACTTGCTATAAAGTAGTTTGACCTCACATAGCTTAACCTTGTTGAAGAACTATATGAAGGGCAGTATTTCCAACCCAGATCAACGCTCAACGCCATCTTGGATCTCGACAACAGCGGTTAAAGTCGTTTTGATAACCTCACAACTCCATCTCAACCAAAAGTCAACATGTCATCGTCCGAATCATCGTCCGAATCATCCAATTCATCCGAAGTCGAACAGAGTCAACTGACAGTCGGCGAATTGAAAGAATTGATCGAGAGTATGTCCCCATAACAAGAGCACTATACAGTCACTAACAGAGCAGTGAACATCAGGGCTATCTATTCCTCCAACAAGATCAGGCTGTTCCTGGTTAAGCGTGTCGAGAAGCGTTCAGGTCAGGTTCTTTACGGAGCTGGCGTTGCTATGTTTTCGAACACTGAGAACACTAATGTCTTCCTACGAAGCAGCGGCAGAAGACTCACAGTCGAAAGCGCGCTGGAGGATATCCTGGACCAGACGATGGCGGAGCTCAGTGAGGATGTGGAATTCCCTGAATGGCGTATCAAAAAATCAAAGGGTACTCACCACATAATTACGAAAACACAGATCACAGATAAAGAGCTAACCTTGATTTTGTTTGTAGTCCGCGAATGATGGCTGTAGTTCGCAGAAGAGAATTGTCGAGCGATTGGATTTGGATGTATTACTTTGAACATCACTGGGCGTGAAATAGAATCTAAATACAGCCACCTCTTGACTCGACTCTTTTCCAAGCTGCAACAAATAATTCTCGCATGTTGTGACGCCATGATCTCTCTTTGTTTGTTGTATAATCAGGCGGAATGCATGAGTTCGATGATTGCTGGTCAAGAATGTTGAGCTTAGGCGGAAGCAATACAAACGGTTTCCTGTATTTGAGAGGGTAATGTTTTTAGAACAAACCAATGCATTTGCTCACCTTGGAGCCAATCAGTTATGAGACGCATAAGGCAAACAACACATATTTCATTCTCTTCAGGTTACTTGTGAGTAATCTGGGATGCCGCATACAACATTCCCGATTATGCATGCAGGTTACCGAGAGAAGGTCATAGAAGAAGCATCTGCCATTAGACAACCGAAAAATGGTTGTGTTTGCCTGTGATTTTGTAGGAAATCGCTTGGCTTGAGTAAAGAATCATGTCCCATTGTATAGAGTAGATAATTGGCTAGGCTACCCGTAGATGGAAGCTCAGAGAAAGCCACTGGCAAGCAGCCAGCAGGATTAGAAGACAACCATATCCGAGAAACATACATAAAGCTGTAAATTTTCCTTCCAAGGTAACTTCTCCAAAGTCAACTTTCTCTGATATTCACCAGCATTGCCAGATTATTCCCTAGTCCTTGACCATTCTGACATATCAAGTCATATCACGTCTCCTGATACAACAAACTTCACTTTTCGACATTCAAAATGGTAACTACCGGCCAAGTCGAGCGGGCTGTACGCTTGAAGGAGCTCATCCAGAGTAAGTTCAACCTCATGACCTGTAAGTTCATGCATAGCTGACCTGCCAGTGAACGTCGCCGCCCTCTACGCGAGCATGCCAGTGACCAAGCTTTTCGTTTGTAAGCGCGGCGAGCTGTATGTTGCCGGCGTGGCCACTCCCCATACTTGCGGGCATGGGAGTGTCTTGTTGAAGAGTATTGAGCGTACGACCGTCGAAGGTGCTCTAGAGTCACTTCTGGAGGAGACTGCGAAGGAACTCACCAAGGAGATGAACTTCTGATGGCATCGATGGAGTTTGGGCTGGGGTGATGTGGACTGGATAGAGGGAATGTGGCTGCTGATGGGGGTTTTGACAACTATTCAAGCACGTATGGAATCACAGACACGCCTATTCGACAGACTTTTGTATCTGGCTGGGCTATTGAGAGTACACAGAACACAACCATTTTGCAGTCGGCAGCAAGTAACGAAATAGACTGTATCACCCGCCCCCAATTTGCTGTGGCTGCCGCGCGCTGTGCTTAGAAATCAACCATGCCACATCCAAGTTCCCGCACTATCTACTAATCTACAACGCGCGTTAGATCTCCTGCACCGTGAAAGACGATTGGTGTAGCTCATCGTCCACTTCATGCCCGTTGATCGTGGGAAACGTCGATTACGTTGCAGCCAAGATCTGTTACTTTCCTGTCATCAAGATCTGCCCGTTTCTTCGCGGGGAATTGTTAAGATTGAGGTCATTTGTTGAGACTAAACGACCTTGATGGCTCAACCCGCGCGGGTAACTCCACTTTCTGATCGAGCCTCATCATGAGCTTATTCTTACCGCGCGGAAACCTTTTTCGGCCGTGGGCTTATGCAGATCATGATAGGTCTTAGAATAAGCCAACATTAGTCATTGAATTCCCGGATAGCACCCAGCGCAAGAAGAGGCTTGTGGTATTAACGTTATCGATGACTTAAACCAGATCTAGGATTTCCAAGAATACAATATCAAATATGAGTGCATCAGATAGAGTATAAATAAGATGAGAGATCAATAGATTCAGTCCCCCACAAACACACACAAACCCACTGCAACTTATCACCATGGCCGCCATTGAATACTTTTTCATCGCTGGCGCAACGGGTCGTCAAGGCGGCGCAACTGTCGATGCCCTCCTCACTCACCCCGACATCAAAATAAAACCAAAGCAAGTCCATGCACTGACTCGCCAAGCTTCTGGGCCAGGAGCCGTCAAACTCCGTGAGAAGTACGGCGACGTCAATATTGTTGCTGGCGACTTGAACAACCCTGAAGCAATCCTCCAACAGCTAGACAAGACCATCCTTCCCAAAACTGGCATCTTTCTCGCTCAAGCCCATGGACCGACTGAAGTCAGCGACGCAAAAGGGCTTATCGATTCTGCTGCGAGGAATGGTATTCCCTACTTTGTGTACTCCTCTGTTGACCGTGGCGGCCGAGAACTCAGCGATAAGGATCCTTCGTACTGCAAGACATTCTCCGACAAATTCCTCATCGAGAAGCACCTCATCGATGCCTGCTCAAACTCCAAGATGGACTACACCATCCTTCGCCCGACTTGGTTCGCTGATAATGCTTGGTGGGGTTTCCCAGGCCAACTTTGCATGACGGGCTGGAGAGACAACATGGCGGGAAAGAAGATGCAAGTCACTGTGACAAAAGACATTGGGAGATGGGCTGTAGAGGGTCTTGTCCGTCCTGATAGGACCAAAATCCGAAATCAGGCCCTTTCGATTGCTAGTGAGGAACTGAGCTTCAAGGACATTGATGGCATCTTCATCAAACATACCGGCAATGGCGTACCTGTTACTTATGGCCTTCTAACCCGATTCATCATCTGGATGATCAAGGACCTAAACACAATGTTTGGTTTCATCGGCGAGAGACCTTATGGTGCGGATCTTGCATGGTTAAAGACTCAGTTGGAGCCTACAACGGTCGAACAATGGGTCAAGACCGACGTCCCAGGACGCGACAACGCCAGAGCTTGAGATAACCAAGATAGCTCAAACAAGAAGAATAGCTTCTGTAAATTCGAACTTGCAACCTGCAAAAACGAAGAGTGGTGTAGTGGGTGAGATTTTTAGGATTTTAGGTTCGGATTTAGAGAAGGTTTATAGGTTTTAGGACGTATACCACTACACCACTCTTCGGTACTGGTATACAGAGTTGAATTCATATATAACGGTATGCCCCGGCTAGAAATCTGAGTAATTACGCTTATGAACACCGTCAAACTTTCTGCTGGATACTCTCTGCCTTGAGAGTAACGCCTTGAATCACACCTGTTTTAGGCACACAATTCAGATACTCAAATCGTGCATCACCTGCTCTCAGGATAGAGACTTCATGCCATGTTCGGAATTTTCTGTCGTCCCCAAAGGTCTTGTAGTGAGTTAGTGCACCACGGTATATAGCAAGATGAGACTTGTGACTCTTTGCCCAAACTTCAAGGGCTTCGAGGTTCGTGAAGAAGCCAGCACCGCACGATTCTTTTCGATGCCGAGGTTCCTCAAGTGAAGGGTCTTGATTTCTGAGATATCGTAGCCCCAAAGCACCTGTATCGGGTGAATTATCCCAAAGATATCGCAGGCCAGAGTGGAGAGTGGGTTCAAGCCTTTTGTTGTAAGAGTCTGCTTCCTGTTGCCCGCAGTTCTCCCAAAACTGTCCTGATCGGATATGAGCTACGTTCTCGTCATTTGTTCCGATGAGGTATTGGCCAACACCCGAAGGAATAGTGACTGGCAGGTTCGGCTTTGATGGAGGGAAGAGATCGAAGGCAGACGAGGGGATTCTGTCTCTTGCTGCGCCCCAGTACGCTGAGAGCTCATGTTCTGGAAAGCTTGCGCCAGGGAGTTTTGCGAGACCAGGGAGATAGTCGAGGCCCGAGTAATTGGTCTCGAGGCGGGAAAGCTCTGTGATGAAGGCCTCTCGCCAGATGCCCACTGAGGCACGGCCTGTTTCCGGTAGTTGAGCGTAGATGGAGTTCAGTGAGAGGTCATCGAGCCCTTTATCATACTTGGTCTTGTCTGACCAGTAAAGCACCCATATGCTCGATTCTTGGACATCACATCCATCAATGACCGCGAATGCCTCATATGCCTCTGGCCCAGCGTCGCTGTTCACCCTTGCTTGAATAGTCTCAGTAGCTTTGTTTCGAGCGATATCAGCGTCTTGAGTATCAGAATGTACCTGAACCCCGATATACGCGGTGCAGACATGGGTGACATCATCTGGGAGGGCGAGGTGCCATCGTGGGATCGGAAGCTTGTGGCCTTGGGGTTTGCGGAGGGCGTATTTACGCGCTGGACACGACATGGCCCAGGTTCAGCTCTAGCAAGGATTCGTCGTGGCTTTTGTTTCGCTGTAGATGGGCGAAGGTTTGATGATGAGGAGGTGGTCGGGGTTACTTTTGGGGATCGCCATTTGATAGGTTGCCCTGGTTTGGAATCACGCCCTGCAGACGATTGCGCATTTTTTGGACTCTCCATGTTTCCGACGTGATCCCTCAAACGCGTATTATTTAGGTTATTCTTGATAGAAAGTGACATTGAGCCTACCATGTTTCATTTGCTAGATTGCGAACAACTTCCGTCCCTTGCCATCTTGTCTGACTGAGATATCAGCATCGGCATCTAACATCGGCATCTAACATCACCGCTATAACCACACGATGCCATCCTACGAAATATTGCGAAAACGGTGCTTCAAAAAGTATATCTCCTTCAGCACTGACCCATTCCCCTCCTCTTGGCAGCTTAACCGCAGCCGCCACGCCACGGCGCATCTCGGAACTCTACATCCCACTACTTTTCCGACAACGGGGCCTCCAAAATTCCGAACATCCCCATCACGCAATTCTGGAGGTGTTTTTCTAAATTCAGGGGCATCTCAAGGCATCTTATCTCCAGGTATCAATTGCCCTGCTGTGCTAGACGGTCAGCCTAGACGAGACGCCTTCGGGATGGGACCCGGGGGGATCATCAGTATTTACCGGGATCGCATATATTTATCCCGATCAGATGATGAGTAAGAGGAAGAGGAGGAAGAAGTTGGGGTAACAGTAACACTGCCCAGATTTGGGATTACGACGTCTGAGAGGGGTCGTCGATCGTCTAGACCAAGTTGTCCTATCATTTTATGTTTTGCTTACGCCTCGATATAAGTTGCATTGCGGACGTTGAGCCGACGTTGGGCTACACAGTATCAGACATTTCCAGAAGCCTCTGCCCCAAGAGCAATTATCTATCGTCTTCAGCTCTCACTTGTCTTTCCAGATTCAGGCATTACCTGTCTTATCGGTGAGTTATCAGTGGGCACGGCCACGGAATCGGCTTCCGATGACCGTCGGCCGGACCCCGATTGTCTCTGAAGGGGCCTGAACCGTGGCCCATTCCCCGCAAAACGCCATCGCGACAGTTAGACACACAGTGAAGGACAATGGTGATAACTCGGCATCTCGGTCTCGACGCTTACGCTTACGCCGATTATGGCTGCATACAGTCAAAATTGCCGTCTGATACATGCTGTTTTGCGGGGGATCAGAGTACATAACTGAACACAGGCGCCTGTGGCTGCTATCGTAAATCCTGTTGTATATAAGGTCTTTGTCCATCCCTTTCCTCCCAGCTCTTCTTTTTTCCCCTTCGCAATGGCTTCATCCTCTAATCGAAACATCTTCTCCAAGAATAAAACTCCCATCGCCGTCGCCGCCGCCCTAGTATCAGCTGCTGCAGTAATCACTTCCATCTACCGTTCAGTAACCACCTCCAAGATGTCTCACAACCTCCACCCCAGCCTCAAGAACGGCATCACCAAGGGTTCTACCAACTTCTCTGGTGGCAAGCTTCGCTGCAAGTGCTCCTCCAACCCTGTCGAGGTCACCCTCAGCGGCCAGGTCGCTCACAACCACGCCTGCGGATGCTCCAAGTGCTGGAAGCCCGAGGGTGCTCTCTTCTCCGTCGTCGCTGTCATCCCCCGCGACCAGCTCCAGGTCACTGCCAACGGTGACAAGCTCACTATTGTTGATAAGAGCGCTGCTATTCAGCGAAACGCCTGCCGTGACTGCGGTGTCCACCTGTTTGGTCGCATTGAGAACGATCACCCCTTCAAGGGTCTCGACTTTGTCCACGTTGAGCTCTCTGATGAGAAGGGCTGGCAAGAGCCCCAGTTCGCCGCCTTTGTCTCCTCCATCATCGAGCAGGGCTTCCCTGCCGACAAGGCCAACGAGGTTCGACAGCAGTTCAAGGATCTTGGCCTCGAGTCCTATGATGCTCTGTCTCCCCCTCTGATGGACGCCATCGCCTCTTGGACCGCCGCCAAGTCCAAGATCTAAGGACTTCAATTTCATATATGCCCCAACACTTGGGGCCCATGTTACAAAAGTTTTGAGAAATGGTTAGCGGGGTGTTGAGGTCCGGCGGTTGTTGTTTCAATAAGAATGTATAGGTAGTCTCTGGGACAGAACGACATGAACGGAGTTGGGTGTGCAGTTGAATAGGATGACACGAGGAATGTGCGCCTACGAATGATATGAAAGGAAGAGATGCTCAAAGATAGCTCTATCAATCCAAATTCATGACTTGACGAATCTTTATATAACCATTGTGTAATTGTGATGTGAGCATGCTGAGTACACTAGTACAGACCTCACGCTGGTCATCAACTACAATTTGCTGATATCAGCACGTGATAAATCACATAATCTGATCGGTTTGTTTGCCATGCAGCGAGAAGTGCATATGAATTGCACTCAACTATTCCTGCATCTCCATCACGGCCTTGAAGATCATCAATGAAAGACCTCTGATGCATAGAATGGCAACAGTGACGATGAATTTCCGAGGTCTCCGCAGTTACAATGCTCCTTGTGATATTATGTTCGACTGCAAGGTCAATATTGAGACAAGAATCACAAATCTTTGATTTTAGAAGCTGGAACAGACACCTTTTCAAATAGAAGAGCAACTTCTTCAGGCCCTGTCACTCTTCTGTGCCGACCTTGTGCCTGAAATGACATTAACTATGCGAGATAATGACCAATATTCACTCATGAGGTGGCGAGTTCTCAGCGTTGACGGTGTTGTAGAGACCGAAAAACGTACGTACTGTGACGACGTTGCAGGGCACGAGAATGAGACGAGTTGATAGTCTTCTCTGACAAATCAGCCTCGGGGATAGCACGTTATCAGACTGCTTGTTCGTTCAACCGTCAAAATACACAGAGACTGGCTGGCCACCAAAACTGTAGAACAGCAACAGAAGACAATTCAGAGTCTAGACCTCAGTCTATCTCACTTGCGTACTCCTTCATGAATCTGGCGATTGAGGCTGGTTCACAGACAAATGAATGCGTCACCTCAACGATAACTCACTAACTCATGCGGAACGGGACGGGACGACAAACTCAAGCTAGTCTAGCTTTCAACGTGTTTCTACAGAAGCGGGGATATCTTCTGTTTCTCTATGGCAACGCTCTTGTGTGGCATTCCAGTCAATGAGGGGAAAGCAGTGGTGGCTCAGCCTAGAGTGCGGCTGATGACCAGATCTGGGCAGCTTCAACAGCTGAGACAGAACTAGGTTCTAGTCATGGCTGAAATATGGTTATGGGATTCGGTCATAGTGAGTAAAAGAGATGTGATGAGACTACAAACGGATGATTCTCCATCGTGTAAGTTGTGAAATGGCTTATCACATACTCGAAGCCCGGAGGAAAACCGCCGCGAGAAACAAGAAACCCAACTCTGAAAGTTGATATGGAGGGGTCTCCCCTTCTGAGAACATTTAATTCCTCTCCTTCACCATCTCAATCAACCTCCAGAGTTCATAGTAGGTCGTAAATTTCATATCCCTAAACTTCGCTGAGGTATTAGTCAACGTTTGCCCAAGATGGGTTTCTACAGCGTGTGCAAGTCGTTCATCGTCTACACCGTCACCTTCTTCTCACTTCCACTTCACGAGCATATCGGAGGTGACTCTGAACAGCCTGTTCTATATTTCGAAAATGGCCAAATCTCGCAAAATTATCCAAAGTTCCCAGCACCAATGGCCCCGATTCACCAGACGAAGACTTTATTTGCAAGTATCCCGAGCTTGGAAATGACTGGAAGTCATGTTCTACTCCAGAGAACCGTCACTGCTGGTTGAAGAGCTCAGATGGACACAATTTCAGCATTCATACTGACTATGAGACTATGTATCCGCCTGGAGTGCTTCGAGAGGTACACAATCACTCACATTATTCACCCCTTTTCAGTCAACAGCAAGGTTACCCAAATGCAGATCCTTTGCTAACAAGATGTAGGAGATAGGAGTAAGGATCTTGAGCTTGGTATAGAAATGTAAAGGATACACCACACGCTGGAGACAGATTTAGCTGGTGGGCTTTCGGCGAGCGACCTCTTTGGCTCGACTTCTCGAACCCAACCATCACCCTGATAGAGGAAAGAAAAGAATGGCCTGACGATTATGTGATTGTTCCAGCAGAGAACAGAGACGGTTGGGTCTATCTTGTCATCACGGCTCCATCGCTTGATCGTATTGGCACCAACAAGACCTTCAGGTCTCTTGCACATCCGGTAAGTTTGTACCTGCGCAACTGTAATTGTACTGATATTCAATAGCTACATCTACACGGGCACGACTTTGCCCTGCTCGCCCAAGGCACAAACTCTTCGCAGATAAATGACCCAAACAACCCCGTCACTCTCAAATTCGACAATCCACCTCGACGTGACGTTGCACTGATACCAGCCGGAGTTTACCTTGTAGTTGCCTTCAAGGCTGACAACCCTGGCTCTTAGCTGTTCCACTGCCATATTGCCTGGCACGCTTCAAGTGGTTTGGCACTACAGACCATGGAGCGTGAAGAGGATCTGAGGAAGATGATGACTCCTGAGAAGTTGAAGCAGGTCAATGATGGTTGTAAGAAGTGGAAAGATTGGTATGGCGACCGGAAGAATCACTGGAACCCTGTTGGTATATTCCAGGACGATTCTGGCGTTTGACCTCGGGGAATTATGTTTGGTTTAGCACTGCTAGTATGAATCAATTTCGTATAAGTCTCCAAACTCTTCTAGTGACGCAGAATGTCTTAGTCCGGATCTAGGTTTGAGTGCTCGAGACGTTTGGTGCAGCCATGAGTATATTATAGGGATGTTGAATATCTTCTTTGATGCAGGTATTATTGAGCCTGAAAGGGCGTTGCTGTTTGTAAAGAGCATAAGGCGTCCACTGAGTGACTTATCAAGATGTTTGAAATCATTCAACTTGTGACAAACAGACTAGAAGGAAGCCTGATTCAGATTTCACCTGGCCTCAATGCATCCTCTTAATCAGGTTATATCGGCCATCGATTTCAAATAATAGCTGAATGAGCTTCACTGAATTGTGAACCACTACAATAAAAGTTTTCTAATCAAAGAACCCTTGTTAAGTTGTTATCCATTTGTCCTTTGGTCACAGCGAATCTCATCCTATAAGATGGAGCAAATTTCTCATGCCAGGAGTCCCTCAAGCATATCCATACTCATTTTCCTCTACACACACCAATCTACTAGTCACCATGTCTAGCGAATATCGTCTTTACAGTAGCCGCCCAGCCTGGTGCTCGCCGTGTACCACCCAAGTTTTCATCACAATCTCGACCCCCGATCTAGACAGAGACTTTCAATGGACACTCTCTGCTTACGATACAGTTGCTCATCTCTGGCAAAACTTCGACGTTATTCGAGCTCACCGCGGCAACTTTTGCAGGATATATCGACATTCAAATAACCCACGTATGCTTCCGTCCTACGTCGCCTGGGGAAAACTTTGTACAGTAAACGCAGAGTGGTTTGAGAGTCTCGTGAATATGACTTGTATCTCGCCGTTCTGGAGCCTGGCAGAGGGCGAGATGCGTAATGATAGTAAGGATTTCGTATATGGGATTTTAGATATCCTCAAGGCACACGAGGTTATTGACGAGACGAGGATCGTCGGAGTGAAGAGGAGGCTGAGCCGATATATCGGGCCTTTTGGTGTTTGATATATATGGCTCTGTGAGTTATCCTTCTTTGATATAAATAGGCAAAAATACTGAATCTTCTGTGTTCCTGGAATTGGAATTGGAATAAGGCTAGCACTATCTTTCTGCCCAGATGCCGTTCCCTCAATAAAGTTGGGAAGTTTCTTACTCTTGAAGCTTGTTCAGGGCACGAATGGTTTCCTCGGTGGGCGTCTCAGGATTGGGTACAGCTAGCCTATATCACTCATGGTCAGAGTTTCTGCTAATATTCTGTACTTACAGATATAGATAAAACACGTAGCCTCTCAGGACATACTTTGTTGATGTACATATCATATCCAAACATCGTTACAAGAAAGACCCCACGTCGTTTTCCAGTTCGTCTGAACCACTTGCCAATAATTTCCTCGCAGTCGTTATAGTAGTTCTTATGTGGTTGGCTGGTATTCGGATGCTGACAGACTCTTGAACTTACTCAGCACTATCCCAGAACGCTACACATGCCTCGTAAGAATGGTCAAGGAACGCAAATATTTCATCTCAACTAGGGATAGCTCTGCATGTTGGACGGGTTAAGCCTATGGTGCCCAAGCCCGTGTGAGAGACGAGAAGGCCATTCTTGCCAAGGGGGCATCGAGGGGCAGCCTTAGCTGATGTGATGATAAGAATTCGAGTAGCCTGAAGATTGGATTTATTTATTCTGTTGAACTGGGAATCTGGCATGAAATTCGTAGTTGCTGACTCCAAAATCGACTTTCGTATGATCCAATTTCACGGTGTTTTCGTGCATCTTCAGGTAGATTGGACTTGACAATGAATATATGAAATAGTAACAGTCTCTCAGGTCTTATCTCCGAATCAACTACATCATACAACAGACTCTCTCAAAAGTTTCCGAACGGACAAACTTGCATATAAGTACTACATATCTTGGCACTCTTACACCCAAGGTTCTGACACTTGGTATCTGAACCAATCAGACCTCGCAGTTTCCGAGCAAACCAATAGGAAGTGCAGATAACGATGACGATCTCGTCAGCGGAGTAGTCCGCGGGGTGGCAGGGCACGCTCAGTACGTAGTCCTTCTAGTAGCGCCCCCAACCCGCTGGCCCAGCAAGAATATTCCTGGCTTATAAGCTCCAGGGGCACGTTCGACGACGCCAAAATGCCATCTCCGCTTAAATCGACAACCAAGCAGATCCAAAAGTTTCCGAGCAGACAAATCAACTCCGTCTCTTCCTTTCTTCCTTGTTAGATTGTTTCGTAGAATGGCTCGAAAGGGAAAATCCAAGGTCAAATCAGGTTGTAAAACATGCAAGTGAGTACTCGACAGGAGAGAGAGAGAGAGAGAGAGGGAAGCAGAGGTTAATGACTTAGATTGAGAAAAGTCAAATGTGACGAAGGCCGTCCAGCCTGTCAGAGATGCCTATCGACAGGTCGAGCATGCGACGGATACGGAATCTGGGGCGGAGGATCACACGCTCTTACACAATATTCCCAGTCCCAGTCACGCCCCAAGTTCACCCTTGGCCCTCCCCTAGAGACAACCCTCGTCTTCTCTCTAAACGCAAACGAGAGGCTCTACTTTGACTGGTTCAGGTGTCGCACTTCTACAAAGATCTCGGCCACCTTCTCTTCTGGCTTCTGGAACACCCTCGTCTTCCAGGCTGGATCTAGAGAACCCGCCGTGCTACATGCCCTCCTTGCGCTCAGCTCGGCGCACAAGAAGGGTGTTGTGACATTGGACATACATAGAAACTCGCCCACCTCGCACATGAGCCAACAGGAGCAGTTTACGCTGCAGCAGTACGTCAAGGCCATTGCACATCTGCAGCCACACTTCAACGCCAAAGATAAGGAATCGTGCCGTGTGGCGCTCATCACTTGTGTTGTCTTTGTCTGCTTGGAGTTCTTCCGGGGCCACTTCGCCACGGCGCAGCTTCACCTGAAGAATGGGCTTGACATTCTTTGGCAGATGCAGGGTCTTCCCGAGGCTAATTCGGGCATCTTGGCATTGAAACCCTGTCACGAATCAACCGATGCTTGGATAGTGGAGGCCCTGTCCAGGCTCCATATGCAGGTTGAGCTCTTCACACTGTTGTACCACCATTCATGTGTTATTCTACAGCCAGCTCACAGCCCCGACAAGAGTTTCCTTGAATCTTTCGCTAATCTCAACGATGCTTGGAAAGGGCTGGAGCTTGTTTACAACCAGATATTCCACCTTACTCACCGAGCTCGTCAACAGACAATAGCAGCAACAGAGCATATAGCCCAGCAGCTCGTCAAGACAAGGCTCGCCCAATGGCATGGCATGTTTCAAGATTTTATGAAAGCGCGACCTGGTGGCTCAAATATATCCTTGCAAAAGGCATACCAGATTCTGAGGATACACTACGCCATGACAAACGTTATGTCTGAGACTTGCATATGCAATAACGAGACCATATACGACACCTGTACCGACAAGTTCATTTTACTCATCAAAGAACTTACAAAGCTATGGGAACTGTCGCTTCATTATGAACTGGAGGACGAGATGCCCCTCTACATCATGACGACTTGCATGCCCAGGTCCATCATCGACATGGGCTGGATACCGCCACTTTACTTCACAGCAGTCAAATGTCGCGTTCATCGCATCCGAGCTGAAGCAATCAAGCTTCTCAGGACAAGTCCTCACCGGGAAGGCATCTGGGATGCGCATATCGCAGCATGTGTCGCCAAAAAGGTGGTCGAGTTGGAAGAAGGGGACTTTTACGGCGGCGTTGACCTGGGGGATGACTTTCAGCTGAACACCCCAATGCGTGATCTGGATTATCAGGTGCCATTATTACCAGAGTTGCGCAGAATGAGTGAAGTTGAGGCCGAGCTCTCGGGTGCCCCCATGGACAAAATCTTGCTTTACTGTAAGCGGGAGCAAGAGGGAGTCAACAGAAGGACTCTCATTTCAGAGTACAACGTGAGCGAACAAGCTTGGAGCGACGTATGAGAACGATCGATGGAATAATGAGGTTATTGAATGAAGATATCAACGCGATTTGCAAGTTACATTCACAATAAATTGCCTATTTACAAGTTCATGTTCTGCTTGGTCGAGGTGGAGGTGACATCCCACATTAAACGATAAGATAAGCCCCGTCTCCGTTTCCGTTTCCGAGTCGGCGCCCGGAGTTTCAAAGTAAACAATTGACTAAACGCGGCCGCGGGGCAGGCACTCACCGTCAAGCACCTTGATAGCACAACCCTTCCTCTACTACCCCCTCTCTTCCAGCTATTCCTTACCTTGATTTTTCTCCTCCTCTTGGAGAGTGATAGTCATGGACTCTGAATCTGTCGTCGCTCAAGTCCAGCGCAAGATCGAGCTGCAAGCACCCGAGGATCTCTCATATCTCATCGCCAATGTCCGTCGCGCAGCCGCAGAACGTCTCAACGAAGCATTTCCCGTGGTAGAGAGTAATGATGGAGAGGATGAATTGCGAAATCAGATAGAAAAGCTCGTAAACGAGGTACTATCCTTTGTCCAGTCTATTTTATGACACAAGGCTAACAAGCAACCAGTACATCGACAAGACATTCTCCCTAGCCTCTCCAAATCTTTCAATAAACGGCCTCCCCGTATCTCCAGACTCTTTCCTCTCCGAATCAAACGTCGAGCCCGATACCATTTACGAACCCTTTGACACGCGCAAACGTCGGCGTGTCGCAGATTTAATCACACAAGAAGAAAAGCTTCTCGAGGATGTTGCAGCGTTGAAACGCTCAGTACCCGCTACAACGGCCGAAGCGCAAGCAGAGCAATTACGCGATGGCTTAAAGCGCGACGACGATATGCTGGAAGCGCGAAAACAACAGATCATAGCAGAGGCCGCTGAAGTGGATCTAAATGTCCAACCACTGGAGAGACAAGATGGCGTGGAGAAAGGATTCCGAAGAGCTGTCGAAGGTCTGGGAAGATTGAAGCGCGATATGCCTGCCGTGGTGGCCAAGATGGAGAGAGCGCGCGTGGCCGGCGAGTATGTCGTTACGCAGGGACGATAAAAGACATCCCTTGTCTTTATTGCATATATACCCAGGGCGGCGATCAGTGTATTACGAACAAGGAGTTGGGGCGCATGGGGTTGGATTGGATTAATCGGCAATATCACTTCCTATGCTACAACACAAATCTCGAGTCCGCGTCTATTGTTGAGAATTATTGCAACCATAGTCAGGAGCCTCAGGCGGCCGGCATCTAACATAATTTTAGGCACACACGAAATAAAACGTCCACATGAGCATGTTCATACACCGAGCAGAACAAGAAGGGGGTTGGAAGAATTCTTTTTGTGCTCCCTACAAACGTCACGCTCCGCCATACACTCCTCCCACGCGTTTTTACCATATATATATATATATCTTTGCTCAGATATCCTCTCAAACCCCATTTGTTGAAAAAAAAGCATGGTAAACGAGAGAAAATATGTGGTCTATATTAAGACGTAGCAAACCCGCCCGTCTATCTTTCTTCCATATCCTTCACCTTGGTACATATACTCTTCTTTAAGCGGCAGCAGGGGCAGAGGCAGGAGCAGTCTGGGTAGCATCAGCACCCTCGGCAGCTGGAGCAGCCTCGGGAGCCTTTGCGGGCTCCTCAATCTCAGATCCCTTATTCTCGATGACGTTGGCATCCTGCTTCTTCTCCCACCAGGCGGGACGAGCCCATTCAGGGTCGTGCCAAGGACCAGCATCGCTGTTCTCACAGCCAGCTTCGCACACACACTCGCCACCGAACTGCTTGGGGAGGTTCTCGGCGGGGATCTGCTTGAGGAGCTCACTCTTGTATCCAGAGCCGAGAATGTTGATCTTGGAGACGGTGACGGGGTCGAGCCAGCCCTTGACAACACTCCAGACGGTGGAGAAACCCCAGGGGGCGTTAATCATGTACAACTTGCCGAGGCGCTCGGGGTAGTAGTTCTGGGAGATGACAGAGGCCTGTCGGACGTAGGAGTAGACCTGGGGCACTTTGGTGATGGAAACACCCTTGAGGTCCATGATGGTGCAGCATGTCTCAAGGAGGTGGCCGGCCTTGCGGGAGCAGGCAGGAAGACGGGGATCGGCGACGCGCTCGTACTCGACAGCGAGGTTCAGGAGCATGCGATCAGCGCTGGTGATCTTGTACATGGCGGTCAGATCAATGCCTCCAAGGGTCTCGATGTAGATGGGTCGTCCATCCTGTATGAGGAGAAAAAAAACATTAGTCAACATATGTTCTCATGATAGCTCTCGCTCGTCATCACCGGCTTGCCATACCTTGTCGGTCTTGTGGTAGAACTGAGTGTAGTACTTTCCGATCTCAGCCTTCTCGGGGTAGTCCCAGATAGGCACAGTCTCGTCAAGCTTAACCTCCTTTCGCCATTTCTCAGTATCCAAGAACCTATAGTGGCGGTCAGCCCCCTGTCGCTACCAGCACAATTTCTCGTTCCACCGCCATCAGATGGGAAGGAAGGGTAGAAGAGTCTTACATGGCTTTGGCGGCCTCGACATCGAACTTGCGCGCTCGGAGGAATCGAAGCTGTAGACAAGGGCGTTGTCAGTATTTGCTGTGTCGCGTTACATGGCCCTTTTTGTCCAGGGTCTAGCAAGCTTGGGTAGCTAGGTTAAGGTATATCTCGTACCAGCGTCAAGGTGTCCAATCGATCAGTGCAACCTTCGGACTCGAGCATCATGCGGAACTGGTGAAGCTTGGCGATCTGGTCCTCTGTGAGGTAGCCGGCGTGGCCATCCTGCTTCTCAGGGCCCTTGATGGGGAAATCATAGTTGTCGTACTTGGGGTTCAGATCCATGGTGATAGACGTTGTATGGTGGGGGTTAGAGAAAGAGGGGAGAAAGCAGAAGAAGAAGAGGAAAAAGAGTCCGCGGGGATAGAGGACAGCGGAGGTTATGAATTAAAATAGGCCAAGAATGACGCCAAGAGGTTGATGAAGAGTTCAGGTCAAGGGGGCCTCCTCTGAATTTAAAGTCGTCCTGTCCTGTCGGTGTTGAGATGAGAAGCGTAGCGTAGCGTAATTAACCGTCTCTGGGCTTGTCTGGTCTCCCCTAGAGATGGATCTCCCTCCCTAAGCTACGGTGGCTAGTGGGACTTCGTCATGGGTGTCCAAGTCCACTCCAAGATGCCTCCCGAAGCGGTCTAGCATACCCACATTCCGTTGAGGAGTATCACGTGGTCTCTCACATGCAGATAATTCGATGATCCAAGTAGGTTATCTTATCACTGAGTTGGTCCCTTATCTTATCTTATCTTATCATCGGGCCCGCTCCCGATGTCAATGTCTTTGTTAGTACCAGTAGAACTTCTCTTGATTCGACATTGGTTCATTCTCAGTACTTTGAAAGAGTCAACCCACCATAAATTCACCTTTAATGGCATAATAGTCGTCACATCATGAGGAATTCCTCCCAGCGAATCACCCTCAATGTCGCCCGCCTCTTTCACACCTCAGTCGCCGGGCCACGGTTGAGGCCTCATCGACAATTCCATCTCACCTCTTTGGCTAGCTTCCCTCGAAAGCGAAGCTTCTTCACCTCGAATCCCTACCTGTCTCAAGTCGACGACGGTTCCCGTTCCGCTTCTGAGATCTCCAAGGAAGAGAAAGGTCCTGCTTCTTCAAAGAGGAAGCCAACTCGATCGAATACGGCCAAGAATTCATTACGTCGAGTTGCCATCATTGCCCAGCAGCCCAAACGAGGCGCAACAGCACCAGGAAGTCCCAGCGATGAACCCTCCAATGTAGTCAGCGCGACCTGCGTCGCAGAATCATTCAAGATGCCTGTAGTTCTCGAGATTCTCTCATCGCATGGTTTTGACATTGACCCGGATGGCACGGGATTCGACGCAAACGAGGTGGTCCATGCTAGAGGTGTAAATGGTGGAGACATCTTTGTCTTTCCGTCTGGCACAATCGTAACATGGTCGCTGCCTCCAGATGTCGTTACCAGGCAGATCATGCGTGCTGCCGAAGAAGCGCACTCCATTGAAAGTCGGGAGTTTGAGGATCTCGAATTCACAACCGATACAAACCGAGAAGCAAGTGTGCTTAAGGGCGATGTTATCGTTCTGGGTACTCGCAAGGAGCACAAGGAGGCTGACAAGCTAGATACTACTCTAGCAAAGGTGGCTTTCTCGTCGGGTCTGGCTCGAAGCACAAAACTTGCTGTTCTCGAAACGGCTTTGACGTCGTACTTTGAAAGCACACGCAACATCCCCGCACTACTTTCACAAGGTGCTGGTGTACCTCTCGGTCGAAAGTTCATCCTACAAAAAACAGGCGAACTCCTCAGTCTGCGTGCTCGTCTCAACCATTACTCTGAGCTCACCGACTCATTACCAGATATCTTCTGGGACACCAGCTCCGATCTTGGTCTAGAAGGTTACTACGAACAAGTTGGTCGTGCACTCGATGTAAATGTGCGTATCCGCGCATTGAACCAGAAGATGGACTACGCCGCCGAAATTGCGAGTGTTCTGCGCGAGATGTCCAGTGAGCAACATGGCACTCGCCTAGAATGGATCATCATCGTGCTCATTGCCGTCGAGGTGATCTTTGAGTTACGTCGCATTGTCCTTGAGATGCTCCAGGAACGACAAGAACGGAAGCTTGCGGCTGAACTGGCAAAGCCTACAGTGCCACCACCAGCATAGATCACCACCAGCCTGGATGTAGATCTCTAGAACTTTCTGTACGACCGAATGCAAAAACTACATGTATAACTTCTTTTTTTTTGGGAATAGGTTGAGGATACGACATGTGCCTCCAGGACTGGCTTGATAGATACCCCTCAGCTCAATAGAATTGACAAACAACTCTATACATTTCTTTTGCCCCTGTTGTTGTCATCTTTTTCCATATCATAGATGAGGAAAACATACTCACTCAATCCAGAACCCTTGACATGTTTTACTGGCACAAAAGAAAGTCCATAACGCAAACATATCAATGCAACAGTGTACCTTGTCTTCGTCTGCATACACGCGCCAATTCGGCGTCTTGGATTACACAACCAGGAGTTTCCACCCCCAGCTCAACAAATCGATGGAAAAGTCCACCAATTCCTAGTTCTTCCTTGTAATGACTAAAAGATATTTCTCTCGTCCCTTTTTCCCCTGGCTGAGTCAAAAAACCAACTCCTCAGAAAAACTTAGTTAATAAAAACAATCGCGAATCCACCCTCTAAACGCCTCCCCTGAACCCCTTTCTCGCTCCTCTGGTGCCCTAAGTCTGCCTTGATGATATCATATCTGACCCCTTCCGCTTCGCGTCTCTCGTTTCCAAAAGATACACATGGTGTCGATTATTACAATGGCTTCTGCTGCATGCCTGGGATCGGTGGGACAGGAACAGGAGTCACCTTGTGGGGAGGTGGTGGTCCTGGCGTCCCACTCATACTCGATCGCTGAGAATTGGGAGTCGGAGGCTTTTGCTGAGAAGCAATACTTGCTCGCGCAGCTGCAAGTCGGCTGGGATCCATAGTCCCTCCTTGGCCAAAACCAGGAGTGCCAGGCTGAGTGATCTTGTCAGCGAACATAGTAGATCGCTCTTGAGCCGCAACCCTGGCTTTCGCTTGTTCGAGAATCCGCTGCTGTTGCGCTTCAGGGATAACGGTGTGATATCCTGTAAGTCCAGGGTTCTGAGCAGGCGTTCCGTGTTGAGGGGGGTTGCTCGGGTACCTGTTCATTTGATTGCCCACAGCCTGGTTCGGCGTACCGTATCGTGGAGGCTGCTGCACATTAGGCGAGGCACTGTAGGCCTGTCTATTAACCTGAGGAGACATCGTGCGCTGCGGCACAGCTTGACCGTTAGTGTAAGCCCCAAAGTTGGGCTGTGAGGGTGTAGCGGCTTGTTGTTGTGGATAGCCTGGTTGGAAAGCGAACCGCGCATTAGGAGTTCCTTGCTGAGCCTGCATCTGTCCAAACTGAGGTCTTGGCTGAGAAGCATACTGAGGCATGTTTTGGTGGCCATAAGGAGTTTGAGCTTTAGCAACTTGTGTGGCATATTGAGCAGGATAACCGTTGGGTCGAGAATACTGATTAGGTTGAGGAGGTCTAGGTTGGGCGGGCATAGGTCGTGGTGCAGGTGTGAAACCGGGCGTAGGCCCAGGTCGGTAGTATTGCTGTTGTTGCATAGAGGGGGTTCGTTGAGGGGTTGCGTACTGGGTCTGGGGAGTATGATGCCCATAAGAAACTCCCGACACACTGGGTGTACGTTGAGGCGGCGGCCGGGCATTAGCCTGAGCAGCTTGTTGCTGAGCTCTCAACCGAGCCTGAACGCCCGCCTCATCCTCCTCCATAACTCCCTTGTACTTGTCAGTTTGGACTTGAACCTTGGTGCTGATGAGAAGATCCTCCAATTGGTCTCCATTCAGCTTGGCGACAGCATATGGCGGTAGTGTCTTGATGATCAGAGCAAGCTGTGCCTTGAGCATCTCATATGTGGCTTGCTCGCCTTCTGAAGGAGTAGGTCCGGGAGTGGCCAGCATATCGCCATTAACCGGGTCGCTTGACGAGCGGTTTTGCGAGTTGGGAAGGTTGAGGTTTCGGATGCGTTGGTAAGAAGACAGAGTCTCAATCATGTCGCTGACTTCTTCCAAAATCTCATCGACTTCCTTCTCCTCATCCGCCCGTTTTGTGCCCAGAGCCTCTTCGAGTGACGGATCAACAACGGATTCATCCCAATTATCAATCGCTTCTTGGATAGCCTTCTCGTCGATGTCCATAGCCTCATCCATCTCCGCCTTTTCGTCACTGTCGGCACTACTATAATATTCGACCTCAATCATGTTCTGAAAAGATCGGTGGCCCGATTGCTGCCACCACATACGACCCGCAACACTCGACGGCACAACCGCTCCTGAATCATCCTTGCAAGGTGCGAAGCTAGAAAAGGCGCCTCGGAAAAGCGATTCCATCTCGTGCAGCTCAAGTTCAGTGGTTGAGGGTCGCTTTCCCGCTAGACTTTGCGCACGTTCTCGTTGCTTGGTGATGGTTTGCGACGAAGGAGTCGCGTTGCTGTAGTCGAGGTAACATCCAGCAGTCAATTGGGTTGTGAAGTAAGACGCATTTCGGAACTTGGAAGTATCTGTCAGTTCTGGTCGATAAAAATCCAGCACGTTGCCCTTAGCTTGCGTCTTAGGCTGCTTGGGTGGCTGCAGAGGCGGCAGGTTCTTTGGCGACGAAAACAAATCTCCAAGAGTCTGTGTTCGCTCATGGGGCGTTGTCGGCATAACATGAGTTAATGACATTCCGTGGGGTAAGGGCATATCACGCAGTTTGGCTTCATCGGAAATTGGGAGACTCGAGAACAGCCTTCTTTCCTGGGGTGCATATGCAACAAGGGACAGTACCAACTCTCCCTTCTGAGGAGATGGTGGAAGTTTTGCCTCGATTGCAAGAGGGTCGGCCGAAGTTTTCGGGTAAGCTTTTTCTCGTCGAAGAAGTTGCATGGCCTTTTCCTTAAAGTCCGAGATTTGCGTTCTCAATTCCTCGTTGGTCGCTTGCTTTTCATCATCGGCTGGCTTTGTCTTGATATCCTTGAGAGCGGCTTGAAGTGCAGAGACCAGGTCATTAGCCACTTGGTCTAGATCCTCGTAAGCATTCGCGGCAGCCTTCTCAGAGATGGTAGTTAGATCGGTCGACTTTTGACGCTTGGCTCGGTGTTCGTCTTGCTCATCATCAGAGGACTCGGGCAAGAGGCAGTTGAGGATGGAGGGACCGATGTCGTAGCTATTGGTGATGGGTTAGTGGATCTGAGGGAGAAGTCATTCGCGACAGAGTTGCGATGCGATGAAAAAGAAGTGGTAATAAAAAAAGCAGGCATACCTGCTCAGAACTCCAACGAAAGATTTTATCACGTCGCGTTGGTCCTTTTTGGGCTGTCCATTGGTAATGGCAGGTTTTTGCTCTTCGGAGGCATTGTCTTCATCGCGGTCTTCCATTTCTTCCGTCTCGCGTTTTCGCTTTCCCGGAGCGACAGGTTGCGCTTTGTCGAGGCTGGGAGATTCTGAGGTGCCGTTGGCGTGGATGGCCGTGGGCTGGGCCATGGTCGGCGTGGTCATGATGGCTTCAAAAAAGAGCCTTGGATGGTTTTGGTTCCGTCGTCGGGGCGTTGGCCGCGCCTCGTCGCGATACGCGGTAGTTGCAGTGGTAATCAGTCAGTGGTTCCTGTTAGCAGCAGTTGGAGCTGGAATGACAGCGGTAGTGGATGGCAGAAATGGGTTATGGGTATGGGGGCCCAGGTCCTCCTCAGTCGCTGGTGCAACACCAGGTAAATAATAAGTCAATACTCTGTAGCTTTAGTAGGTATCGATTCAACAGCGGTTGGAGAAGCGCAAACGATTCGATTCCATCGAGTAAACCCACGACACAATCGTACAGTCAATCGATGTAACAGGAAGTAATCGAGTCGTAAATTACGCGACAAACACGTCTCAAAGCAATAGTTCAAGTCGAAAAATGGGGGGAGGATGATTGATTGCCTTTGGCTCTCTCAGCTTTGGCTGTCCTTTGCTTGCTTTGCTTTGCTTTGCGCTCTGCCTGAGCCTGGGGGGGGGGAAGAATGTGTCTCCTTGATCGCCAAGTACCTTGTACCTCGTCCCTTACTTGTTGCTTGCCAATTTTCGGACCCACTCTGTCCCTTTTGGCGGAAGGTGAAGCCTCAGGAGTCATCTCATGCACGTGACTCAGCTGGAAGTTCAACGGTCTAAGGTGTAAACATTGCTGCAGAACATGATCATCTTGGATCACCCGAAAGTTACGATATTTCTTTATTCTAAAGGGGATGAAATACCTACAATGCCTAGCTTTAGGGTGATGGCTCTCCAAACAGGACAGCAGCATTCTTATGAAGAAAAGTGCCGTCCACGTCGAGATCTTTGTTACTCAACAGCCAGCTCATTAACATCCACAGAGTGGCTGCAGGCCTAGCGCAATCATGGCCATGATCAAAGTATCCATTTACCCCAGTCCGTAAGCTAAACTATGATCTCATTATATCATGAGCACCACCAAATCACCAACAGAGCATATAGCCAAAAAGTCAATAAGGATTCATATTACTGAGCAACAAGTACGAGAAGCCATCTTCTCGATTCCTCAAGCTCACGATCTGTCATACAATTCAAACTAGTCCCATGCCAGTATCCAAAGCCATGTCCATACTGCGTGTTCCATTCGCTATCTGTAATTCATACATAAATGTTTCATAGGCAAGTATCTTACTTGGCACGAGCCAGACCAACGGCGTTCTTGCCGAGGTCGTAGACAGAGTAGTATCGTCGCAGGAAAGCGTCACCGAGAATAACAAGAGGTCCCACAGGCTCGGGGAAGTCCATGCCCTGGAAGGTAGAGATACAGCTGCCCTGAACCTCGAGGATGTAGTCGGTGGCAGGGAGACTGTAGTTGGATCCAGCAAGGTTGAAGGTGATGTCAGGAAGAGAAGCGCGCTTGTCGCACTCAATGGTATACTGGCCGTTGTAGCCCTTCTTAGCGCCAATCTCCTTGTTCAGAAGCTCAGCGAGAGCGCTCGGGAGAACGTTCAGGGAGGTACCGGTGTCAAGGATGGCACCAGTGTTCTCCTGCTCAGCAACCTCATCGCCGAAAGCAATGGCTTCGAGGTCAACCTCCCAATAAGCCTTGCGGCGGAGGGGAATGTACTCGATATCTCCAGTGAACTTGGACTTGTCGATACCTCCAAAGGTAGCCTCGCTCTCGCCGTCCTGGTTGTCAAGGTAGAAAGCAAAGACGGGCTCATCCAGAAGCTTCTGGTTGACCATCTGGTAGAAAGGAGGGACCATGCCATTTACGGCAATGCGGTCGTAGCCGAGTCCAAGGATACCGTCGAAGCGGCCGAAGGCGAAAGCCAGGCCGGGCTCCTTAGTAGCCTCAGCGAAGTCCTGGTCCTTGATCTCGAGGTCGCCGATGGAGACAACATCATTGGAGACGAAACCAGACAAACTGCCAGATCCGTAGTGGATCTCGAACTCGGTGCCATTCTCCTTGTAAGTTGAGGAAGCGGACGAGTCGTACTTGGAGTGGAGGTAGCAGGCGATGCTGCCGCACTGCTGGGAAGGAACCCAGAGGTTAGAGCTACCGGTGTCGAGGACAACCTTGAAGCTCTGGGGAGGAGTACCAATGGTGATCTCGGAGAAGTCTGGGGCGATTAGCGATGGCAGGATTGGCGATTTAATTGGTACTTACACTGAGCGTTCATGAAGTTGGAGACGGGGACGGGATGGCCACCCTCGACGTTGACGGTGTTGGTAGCGAAAGCGTAATCGGCAGCATTCTTGGGGCGGGAGGCACCGAGGTACTTCTGGCCGAGGCTCTGGAGGTGGTCCTCAACGGAGTTGGTAGCCTGTGAATGGTGTTAGAGAGCTTTGATGGAACGCGCAATCATCATGGGAATCAAACATACGAGCTGGTCGGCAAGAGGAACCTTGTTGAGCTTCATCTTGTGAACACCGGCCTGGGCAGAGCCCAGGAGCGCGGCAGCAGTAAGAAGAGCGCCCTTCATGATGGACAATCGGGTCGATAATGCGACCAAGTGAATGGAATGATGGAAGAGCTCGACAAGAATGTTACGAGCTGCGATGGGATGGAGATGAAGATGCAGATGGTGAGTTGAGATGCAAGGTGCAAGATGGAGTTGGAGGAGATAAGATGGTTGGTTAATAACGACGAGAAAGGTAAGAAGGCAAGCGAGGCGGAGGAAAGCACCGTCCGAGCTGTGCTTGGCTGGGGGAAGCTTATTGCGCGTGCTTGCGGCCTGTTTCGGCGGTTAAGGTAAGTCTAGTGGTGGGTGTGGCCTGGGCCTCGCACCTCGCACCTGCCTGGATTCGTAAGTTACGCCTCCGGACTTTAGTCTTTTGGTGAAGAACTCCCCTGCTCATGACCTTGTGACTTGGTCTTGCTTGTCTGGCAATGACGCACCATTTGTATCCACTTTCCCTGCTCGGCAACCAGCTCCAAGCCTTTCCGCCTTAAGCATCATGCCTGTCTCATCTTATCAGCGCCAAGTTCAAGCGTATCAGGAACAAACAACAAAACATGCTGTTACTCTTTACCGGGGTCTGGAACACTTCCTCTTATGCCGTTGTCGTGGAAGATTCGTCAGAGGTTGATGATCTATGATGAGTGCGGCATGCACGTAGTATTCGTATGATGCCCCCTGGCCTGCTCACGCGTTTGCGGTGAGATATTTATGTTAGTGTTCCTGATAGCTTAACTTACAGCGTAGCACCATTGAAACTAACACTACCTTAGCATTAGCACTCCGGGGTTACACAGCTCTAACTTAGCTCGGATCCTCTATCATGCCTTGTGCCTGATCGTCAGACGAATACATTCTCACCGTCTAGGCAATCACAAGAACGAAATGTAAGCGGAATTGCACCAAGTTGTAACCAGAAACTGTCTCCCCCTTATTAAATATAAATAAACAATGTCCCTATGATAAATGCCCTTGTCCCTAACCTTTATTATATATAGCTACAACCACCCGGTTGAGCCTTGACCCATCATAAAAGTCGTCATCATAACTTCGTTAGTAACATCATCCAATAATACTCAAGCTCCTCGCATCTCCTTCTTGGAACGTTCCATCGCTTCAGCAAATACTTGCCGCACATCATCCAACTCGGCATAATGCTTGATCAGTTCCTCCAGTCTCTCCAGCCTGGAGCCCGTCATCTCATCCGACAACTTGCACCATCCAGAATGAAGTGCAACAAAAAGGAACGCTAAGCTCCCACGGCAGACTTGGTCATCTCGGATCCAAGAACGGAGTGCGCCTCTTGTAAGGTTGACACTGCAGCCACGGTCTCTTAGTAAGAGGATAAGCAAGCCCTTGAAGCCAATCTGCCCAGCCTTCAAGAATGCTTCAATAGCATCTTGTCCGATGGTAAGAGAATCCTTGAGATATCTCAACATCACTGGCAGCAATCTATCGCCATGTCGCGCGTTGGACGTCGTGTTGATAAGCATATCCTGCGTGATCTTGAACTCATCCTCAGCTCTCTCCGCCAACACAACAAACTCCCTTGCTGAGCAAACGCCCACTGCAGCGTCCAAGAGTGGCTGTGTGATCCGTACGCTCTCATCTTTGTGCTCGAAGAGAACTTGCAAGCCAGGGAATCCAAGCTCCCGTAATGTCTCAATGGCAATCTCCTCGTCGACGTCAACGTCGGCAGCACGATTGGCAAGAAGCATCTCGAGAACTTCGGGGGCCCAGTCGTCGGTGTCTTTCTGTGGTGAAGCTATCGCTGCTAGGACGACTTGTTTCGTGAATCGAACTTGGGCTGCTGGCATTTCGAGAAAGATGGCCATAAAGTCAGGTCGGCATCGGGTGTTGGCAAGAGCCAGTGTCATGAGCTTCTCATCGACAAGGCCCTCATGTGCCCGGTGTTTAAGAAGAACTCTAAGCATGGCTGGACCCTGACGGTTCTCGATAGCCTTCTCGGCAACGGCCGGTGTGATTGCAATCCGTGTTCCATGCTGTGTAAGCAAGTAATCCATGGTCCTGGGGTGGCATATGCTCGCAATACTCTCCATCATCCACTCGTCCAGTTCGATGTCATCCCCGTGGAGTTCAAATAGTAACGTTAGTATTTGGAGTCCATGCCGTTGATTCCTTATCGCTCCGATCATTGCTGCGTCGCTCCATTTGAAATCAGGATGATCGAAAATAAGATCCATCATCTCAGCGCTAGCACATTCTGCCGCGGAGCAGGAAAGATCTTGATCGCGGGAAATTTCATCTCTTCGAAGTGTCATGATCTTTTCAAGCATCCCAGGACACCCCCATCTTGCTGCTGCTCGAATGGTATAAGGCGTCAAAGGCTCGCCCTTTTTGAGAAGAAACGCCAGCATCTCAACTCTTCCGGTGAGTATCGCACTAACAAACGGCGACTTGAGTCTCGCATGGTGCTTTTCTCTATCTTCATCTGTGTTACCAAATCCCAAGTGCTCAAGGTTGTCGCGTTTGTGGTTTGTGGATGCGCTGGGGGCGGGCAATTCCGAGCCATTGGGTAATCCTTTGAGGAACTTGATTGCATCCTCGGCACAACGAAGCTTGCAGATGCTCTCGCTGGCCAACCGCACCCAGTGGAAGTTGTACTCCGACTTTGCTTGGAATACTCGCTTGACCTGGGTGGTACTTGTCCCTGACCATCCTCGCTTGATCGCGATGTGTCGCACGCGCTGGTTGATGAAGATCTCAACATCATGCTTCGACTGGGAGAATGAGTCCAGATCTCGGTGGACAAACTCGCCCAGGTACTCATAAATCTTTGAACTTGGTCGGCTCAAAATGAGAATGTTGAGATTCACAGCTGGTTTCGGGCCATGGAACGTCTGCTCCATCAACTCCAGCAGGATCGTTCGAGAGGCCGCGTCGCACTCATCTAACCCATCAATGACGCAGAAGATGTGACGGTCAGATCTGAAAGCAACCTCAACCAGCAAGTTCCACAGTGCTTGAGGTTTCTCAAAGACTCGAGAGCCGCGATGCGCATGTCTCCTGCGGATTCTGTCGCTGAGGAAGTGGGGATGGTTCTGAAAGAGCTGAGTGAGGAGACCTCGTAGAAGACCCTGAGCCGTGTTCCTCTGCGAATCATTTGAGTCGCAGAAGAAGTACGCACAGGTTTTTGTGGGATCAGTCGCGAAGTTACTTGTGAGCCTTTCGGCGAGAAAGACACCCAATGTCGACTTTCCTCTTCCTTGAGTCCCAGAAAGCCATAAAACTTGCTGGTTTTCTGACTCTGGTTGAAGCCAGCTCTTAACTTCTGGCACACTCATAATCCATTCACAGGTCTTGGGGGCCCTTGGACCCTGCTGTGTTCTGAGCGCATCCTTTGCATATGAGGGATCCAACCAGATGAGATCGTTGTAGAAAGCTTCAATCTGCTTTTCCTTGTCCGCATCATCTATCAAGTCAGTATATTTAGACACTTGTCAAGAGATGTGGCGTCTTACTTGGAACGTGACGCGTTTCATAGCGCTTATGAGCTACAGTGCTTGTGCTCGGCCACGGATAGTGTCCTAAGAAGCTATCCGGCGATAGAGGTCCTTCATCAGAGGCAGAGAACCGCGACCTTGAAGATCGCGGGGAGTCGTCTTTCGCTCTTGAGAAGCCCATTGCTTGTTCGCTCTGATTTAATGTGATATTGCAAAGATCAAGTTGCAAACGCGGTTCTTAGCCTGACTTCCATGCAATGCAATAGTCGGTGTATCAATCCCAACGGCGGCTTCAATGTCCTGGCGTGATGCATGCGTCGACAGAGGAGGGGTGGTACCTTTTACCGTCTGTCATTAGTGCAAGCGAAGTGAAAGTCTCATGACAAGAAGATGAGAGCAAAGATACGGTAAAGGAGGGATATCTATCGTATTCGAGATCGTCTGGAATACTGTGGCAATATCTCCGTTAGGGGGGATCTTGATTAAGAAAAAGGCGTTGGCATTGATTAATTAGGGGAGCTAAACTAAATTAACAATAAACCGTTCATATCGGTCGGGGGGGCTTCCCCTCGTTGAGGAATGTCTAAAGGGGAAAATTGGGAAGGCTGGTGTATACGCCAGCGCCAAGATGGTCCAGGCCCAATGTCATTTTTCCAGGGTTGTAACTTGGTAGACTCGACCCATGCAGACGGGAGGCGACCAAGAATCTGCAATGACGTTAAGTTAAGGTTCATAGAAAAAAGAAAACCTCAATGAATATTCTGTGACAGCATTTGCACAGAATATTCACTCAGTGTTCTATCGCCTTCACTCAGTTCCCCATCTACTTTAGTCATGACCCCAGCCTATTAATTTCACATCGAGATTATGCGTATCATCCTCGGGCTGTCCAAGCTTCTGCAAACATTTTATCCCAGCCAATCAAGGTAATGAAGACGCGTGAAAGAGAGGCCTCGATGTCTCGGCGCTGTTGTGTTAATGGCCACTCACTTGTCGCGTTTCCAACCGTTGTCAGAAATTAAATCGCCAATTAGTTATCTGCTTCTACGTACTGAACTAGGAATTGAAGGGGGTTAAGCGTGTTGGATGTTCTGATAGTCACTCTGTGTAGTAAACCTTTAGATACTAGGTACCTAGCATATCCGTGCGATCGCTACGATAATTCTTTCCCAATGATGTTTATATGAAATGTTGAGTGGAATGGATGCTTCAGATACAAACTCCTCATGCCTCACCTTCGATCTAATCAAATGTTGTATGATCTAGGGAGCCTTCAGTCTAAGCTCCTGTTGGTCTCCAAGTCACTGCGTTGGATGGTATAGGATGTGAACTTCTGAGACTTTCAACGTCGTCAATGCAGGTAGTTTTGAGATACCAGTGTGGTTATATACCTCCAAATTAGGCTCGGGCTGTAGGCTTTTTACCCTCGATTAGAACCTCTAATATTCAAGGTGCCAGAAACTTGTTGCAAACACTCCAAAGCGGCAGCACAAATGACTCCAAGCCAGCTCTGTACAGAGTTCACTGCCAAGATTACTGACCCCTTTGCAAGTGGTATGCGCCGATTTGTTTCCCGAACTGAATACAAAATGCTTACATACAGGGTAGCCCCCCGAGGAGGGTGACCTTGACCCATAGATTGTGACTAGCTAATACTACATCTAAAGTTATATTACGACATTCCTATTCGAAGCGACTGCTTCGTATACTCTATCTCTCAATGCGTGATCTCATGGTCCGCAATATGTTATCGGCGTCAGTCGTTGACACACTTCTGATTACGTTGTACTCTAAGGTAGGGGAGAAAAGAAAACTCGGGGCCTTGATCCAAAATGGCAAAAAGGCTGAGATAACTCAACATGAGTCTAGTACAAATCCAGGATAAGCTTAGGATCCCTCAAGTTTATCTCGACACACTAGATCAAGGTTTGATGTTTTCCTGCTCCCCCGAGGGCACTCCCAATCATTTCACTTACAACTTGCAGGGAACGAGACAAGAGGAAACCACACATTCAAATCGAGACGAATTCAACAGCCAGCGATTGCATGGCCGACTATGCTACCATGCTGTGAGTTCAACCATAAAGATTACATAACTCATGAGAGCTGGTGATAAGTGTCACTCCGAGGGCTTACGTGTTGGGGAGACGAATCCCAGCCCTCAAACCTTTTGATACATCCTGAATACGAAGTCTCTTAGCTTGTGAAGAGCAATTTTTCGGCCTGCTTGATTAAGAGAAGGCTAGAGGATCATCGCATGCGTGATGTTATAGATCTCGGAACGGTCGGACGTGGTTGGCTCCGGGACACTTGGGGGTGATGCAACTGCAACACTTTGACCTGGTTATATGACGATGGAAACGAGTGCTGTCAACCGTTGTTAGAAATAACTCATAGTGCTGGAGCAAAAATACTCCGCCGCACCTTTCGCCTACATGCAGGTGGCCTGATTTAAGGATGGCAACTAGTAACTGTCTTCTTAACTCTGACACTCGACAACCAGACCCACAAGCAAAACTATCTTAAGATAGAAGTCTACTCAAGTCTTTGACTCTGTCTCTGTTTCGTAGTTTTGTAACGTATCTTTCTGGTTTGATGAATCCCAACGCAGTTCGTAGTTGTCTCAGTTGCTATCAACGTGTTGTCCTTCTCTGGAACTTTTGACCAACAGCACCTCAAAATCAGCGAATTTTAACTTTTCGAGCCATGCACGTGCATACTCTCAACCAACAAGCCATCCGAAAAGAGTTGTGGATCTGAGGTGTTAAGTATCAACCTGCTCAAAGAACTGATTGTCGTCGGTTCAAATCGAGATTGTTAATGTCTTAATAAACACCTTAGTATTCTGATTTCACAGAACTGTGCGAAGCTATATACTTCGCAAAGACATTTGCAGCCAAAATGTCAAATACTTGCCTCAAGTCGGTTACGTTCCCCGTTTCTTTAGGTACAGTGAATGCCGACTTCCGGCTCGCAGAGTCAGGGGTCTCTTCGAGCCTCAGCCAAGAGCTGCCAGCACAGCAGCTGAGTTCCGGAACTAGCGAAAAGCATTGCAAGCTTAACCATGCTGCGCCAATCACGGCTTGAGCTAGAGACAAAATGATTACCCTGGCTAGCCTGGGCGCTCGGTACAGCTACTGACACCAGACAACCCCTGCTGTTTCTTCACGACTTCAACCAACACACTTTCTCTATATGGGGTTTGTCAGGCAGGGCACAATACAGCGGCGAGAACCTGATAGAACAGCTTCTTAATCTGATGCTGTAGGAGAGGCTTTGGACAAATCGTCTCACATGCTCAAAGTGATCAAATCTGACTTTTGGGGCCGCGGTGTGGCAGTTCTCACGACCTTCCTTCTTCGTTTACCTCAGAGCAAATATACATTAGCTTAGTATAGAGTCTTGACTTGCGAGTAAGTTTCTGCACATCAGACTTCCGGGTGTGAGGAACGAGTCTTGAGTTTCACCGACCAATTCCACTCCATAACCGCCGGTTTGTTGGTTGGGCCATGTCAGTCCAGGGGAAGCATGATCGTTGTATTGCATGGAACGACCAGGATTATTGTACTCATACGAACTCACAGTATGTGAGGACCTTATGACTAAATACAAGCTCAGAGAGCTCTCTTCTGTGTATAAATAGAGGTGCTGCTTCCACAGAAATCTTCTCGGTTCACCAAGCACCTCACTCCTCATTTCATACTTCAACCACTCCGTTCAAAGAAACACCATGAAGTTCTCTGCTCTTGCAACCGTCCTCGTCTCCCTCGGCCTCGGTGCTGACCTAGCTGTCGCCAAATGTGATAGTGGTTGCTACCTCAAAGTCTGCGACTGGAGAAACCTCAAGGGCAACTGTCATACCAAGTGCTACCAAGGCAAAGACATTGGCCGTGTGGTCAAGGTTGACAAATCTGGCCTCAAGGGGCCCATCGTTTCCGCCAAGAGCAGCAATGGTTGTGGGTGTACCTTTGGCTACAGCAGTGGGTACGTGTCCCATGTTATGATCAAGAAGTCCAGTCTCTGCTACATACAGTCGGCTAATATACAGAAACAGAAGTGCCTGCCAATATGTCGGTTCCGGTTCTAAAGGCACCAACTTCGCGACCCAGTGTCTCAAGGGCGTCGACGAGGTGCAGTGCAACAGGCTCTAAGGTATTGACCTAGTTAGCCAGCTTCATCCGGAGGCAGGGGGCTTTGAAATGGTCTTTGCAAGGGATTGCAACAACACACCGGGATACATCTTGCGGGGCCTGAAGGCTAGCGATCATTTGGCTTAGCAAATAAATAGATTTCATTGGCACTTAATCCAAAGAATGAACCCCAGAGGCACCTGTCTTCCAAATGCTGTTCAGTCATCCTGTGCATATGCTCCCCCGAACCTCCATCTATATACCATTTCGACTCCAACAGGGGTAAACAGTATGATAGACACAATCTGCCCAAAACCCCAGTAATTCCCATCGTAAGTCTCTCCCATATTCTCCGACATTTGCTCCTGGACGTTTCTAAGGGTGAAGATCGCCACCAGCAGTGGTATAGTCAGTCCAACAAACACAAAAAGAGGAAGGATGGCAACAAGTGGCCTGTCACTGAACCACTTGTTAACGCCCTCACGCCAAGAGGCCTTGTCTTCTGTTCCTTTGGCATTCTTTGCCTTCTCGTCATGGTCGTAGCATGTGCCAGGCAGACCAGCAAGGAGCCAGAATGTGAAGATGTATGTAATCAAGGAGGCAGTCAATTCTAAGCCATTTAGAGATTTGAAAGTTGTCGATCGCCCAATATTTCTGTACTCTGCGGGAAAGCACATATCCTCAACGACACTCCAGTCTGTAGGCGATACCTCTGAGCCCTTACCCTCACCGATGGGGCTTATGTCAAAGGCATGAATGCACCTCGATAAGAAGGGATAGAACGACAGTGCAACAGTTGCACTGAGGAGAAGTAATCTGGCGTTGTGTTTAATACTGGCTCTCGCGCTGCTTTTCGCTGCTGGCTCCAACAGAGCAACCGGGTACAGAAGCGGCATCATGCTAACGACGGCGACAGATTGGGATATTAGAGCTTCTATAGCGCCCAAGTCCGCAGTGCTGATACCATAGTCTTTGCGAGCAAGTACAGCGATCGTAGCCAGCTGTAGCGCCAGTGCAAAATATGCAGCACAGTCGACAAATGCTTCAAGGC